TATAGCTTAGTTTCATCATGTTTTCAGTTTACCCCTCAGTTGGTCTTTATGTTGTACTGCTGTCAAAGAACTACCTAACCCACCCACTCTTGTTACTTTAGGCACATATACTGATGCGAAAAAAAAGCATGGATCATAGCAATGTCAGTTAAAAATCTCTATTTATAACAATCAAACCAAAGCTAAGACTAATCATACAGACAAATAACATCCTGACTGTAATTCCGTCTATGGAACGTGGCTTGTAAAACATGGACTGTGATGATTTTATTAGGATATCTGGTCACTTTTGGGGATGGGCTAGTAAGAAAACACATAGCAACCACTCAAAACATCCTGGAAACCACACAACACATCAGAAACACACTGGCACCCAGTCGCAATATGGCATGGCTAAGCATGATTTTTTTTTCACAAAATGTAAAAATCTAGTTGCTTAAATTTTTGTATAGCCTAAAAAATCTAAACGTTTGACTGTGATGCGTTTTATGTAGTAAAACAATTAAACAAGGACCTGCTCACCAATAAACAAGTAATCCGTGTGTGTTCAAAATACAGTACTATGACGAAGTGCAGAGTCAACAACAGAGCTTTTTACTCGAGCTGGACGTGGCAGATTTAGTTTTAGATTAAAGATTAAAGACTGTGTGCGCAAAATCCAAGTGTATTTCCAAAAAGCTCACAGAAACACTGCTTCTCATACGGAAACCATTACTGACGAAATATTAAGATGATGAACTGACGTTACAGTGATAATTACAACCAGTCGCAATTCATTTAGCGCAGTTCAGAGCTTTTCACGCACAGATCGCTCAGAGCTCGCACACACTCGTGCAGTCTTTGCTAGGGGGACTACAGTTCAGAGGAGTGAGAGATGGTTGTTAGACTCCTATGTCGTGACCCGCTGCTGACTAATGTTAACGGGGGGCTTTGGTTATTTCCCATAATGCTGAGGGTGCCTGCGGTGCCAATGTGTCACAAGCAGCTGTTTTCTGCTTTATTAACATATACACATTTATTCATGCAGTCTGTCATTCTTCCATTTATCTACTTCTCCTTGCTCTGCATTTGACACTGAGCACTGGCATTGGGAGAAGAGGACCAAACATACACAAACATACGTTTTATTAGCTGGGTGGAGTGTACACACTTCAAACATGCAGAAAGAGTGTTTCCATGCATATGTTTGTGTCTAAATACATGGGTAGGGTCCATATAGGGAGTCTAGGGATCCCTAAAATCCCTAACTCAATATTTTGCCATGAAACTTTTACAACATAATTTGCGCTACAAACATGAGTTATAACTTAACTTGTTTAGGATGTGCTATTATTATTTTTTAATGTTCAAATGTATGGTTTTAACCTGATGAGCGGAAAAAAAGAGCATAAATTCACCAAAGCGTACTCTTTCACAGACAAGAACTATTCATATATTCTTCATAAAAATGCTCATACAACATTAACAGAAATACCAACATTGTAGAACATTAAAACCATTTTAAAAATCCAGAAAATCAGCTATATTTTATTCATTAGTAAACGTATTTTCCATAACAGTAAAGATGATATTGGCCGTATTATGAGCAAATCATGCAGTATCACAATTGTGCACTTAACCTTAGGTTGCTCCAGGGGGATTGCCAAAGCAACAAGTCTACTGTGAGTCACTTAGGATAAAAGCATCTGCTAAATGACTACTCACAGTGTCCAGCATGCGATTACCAACATATTAAAGTAACATGCCATAATAATTTAAATACAGTAAACATATATGAAAGCACTCTGGCTAGAAACACAAGCACTGATGTTAAGCAGAAGCGAGAGCAGATGATTTGTGCTCAACATGCGTGTTTTTACAGACAGCTAATAAGTCCTGAGTGTTGCTAAGACCAAACGCACTCCTGTGATTGTTATGTTACGACACCTAATGTGTCTCACAATCCCACAGTGACCAGCACCAACTGCTCCGCAGATTGAGAAGTCTACCAGGCAATGCAGCCTAATTACTTTGGCATCCTAATACACTTTGGCATATTTCTACATATCTCAAATTACATTTCAGATTTGAATGAATGAATAAATAGTGATTAAATAGAACAAGCTAAAGTGGATAAGTCTTTAGAATACACAGTGTCAAATGAGGAAGGCAAGAAACTGGTGACGATCTCTGTGTGACGGCAGATGCTCTTAGTTGCAGCCAAGGCAATAAACAAACTGACAACTTTCTCGACTTCACCACGCTCATGAAGGATTTATGTTGATGCAGGTTTAGCTGCCTTAAATATTTGTTAGGTAAACATTAAACAACGCTTTGAACAAACAACATTAGCAAACGTATTCCAGGAATCGAATAACTTGGGTGCACTTGCATGGGACTTTGGAGACCTGCATGTGTTTGACAGTGAAACAGAAGCAAGAAATGCTCGATCATTCTGCACAAGAAGGAAAAGTCCGGGACAGATCGCCTGTCAGACATCAGTCAGTCAGTCATCCGAGATGGCGTCCTAGAGGCTCGTCAGACATTTTGAAATCTATCATAAACATATTCATTTAGCTAATGACATAAATTACCTGTAAAATGAACCTGGCACAAAGCCGAGAAAGAAGCCAGATAATGCCACCCTCATTACCAATGAGCATCAAGGGAACCAACAACCTTCAAGAGAGAAAAAGAGCCAAAGAGAAAGGAATGCACATGCTAAGCACTCGCAAAACCTTTAAAGCCATTCCGTAAATGTCTCCTCGTGCTACATTGTAACAACGTTCTAGAAAAAGCCTCAAATGACTGGAGTGACATGAAAACTCAATAGCATCATTACATCACAGTACAGCAGAGTGGCATGACTGTGACATCAGCAATGATTTCATTATTCTGCATTTTCCCCTCAACTGCAGAGTAAAAATCTTACAAAACGTGTATGCTTGTGTTTCTCAGTAACTGCTTGTTCAGACACAGACATTCAAGCACTTCATGAGTCATATTTAACATTCCAGAAAGTGACGGTGTATCGTAGTGCACAAAACACGCTTTCCATTTTCCTGCTGTTTGAGTGTTTGTACAGCAGAAGAGGTTCATGTTTGGCTGTGATACGTTGCTCTGCCCTGGACCTGTGATTGACTGAGGTTGTGTTTACCTGAAAGCAAGTCCTTTTCAGCAGCGGTAGACGACAACACAACACAAACATGAACATCTGCTGGGCTACAGGCCACCATGGAGATCCTGCTCTGTCTACTAAAGGCTAGGTAAATCATTTAGTTAGATAATGATAAAGGTGCAAACAGTAAACATTTGGACTTACTGACACCTGTGGGCCTGGATGCATGAAGTTTGTTTACAAAGCTGTTTGTTTATCTTTCAGTTTTGTTCAAAGTTTTACCCTGTCTCATACCAAACACTTTAATAAAACATTCTTATAATATAAAATTCTTGGATTTAATCTCAATTTGTTTCCCCCCATTGTTGGACGTTAAGTGGATTGCTGCTTTTTTGTACTTTTTTTCTCTCTGTGGGCTGTGTTGCATACTTTTTTGTGCTTTGTAAAGTGTCTGATAGCGCTTTATAGATTAATATTATTATTTTAATAATTATTATTAGTAACAGTCTATTACAGTACACAGCTGGTCATGTGATCGCAACATGGCAGTGCCCATAATGGGGTGACTTGCTTCAAGCTGAAAAAAACAGTTTGGTCTAAAAAGACCATAAATTATGCATCATTTAAATATTTCTCAAAAACTTTGTTTGTGTCATTAGGAATACAACTTTTCTACTTAACAAACAATTACTGAGTGCACATTTAAAGAAACTGAAAAGTGATAAGAAACTGTTGTGATGTTTCAACATCAAGAGGAAATGTGTAAGACACAAATCTGAATAGGACAAAATGACATGCAGATCAAAAGATAAACGTTTACTGTCAAAGCTGACACAACAAAGCATCTAAAATTGGATTCTAAATCCTTTTCCCATCTTTGTCGCACTGTTTCTATTTTAATACCAACAAAGAGTGTGTGTCAGTGTATTCAATCGTCTATGAAAACGCAAAACTGTCCCTCACAGACAGTGCAAAAGAAACATCATTATTTCAGTTGTCATAATCAACTAGCTTTTTGCATGACAGATGTGCAGTGGGCCTGAAGGGGCGGGGCTACATATTGGCCGCAATTTGCAGGTTTTGCTTGGATGCGTTTGTTCACTCAGGTGCGGCAGGTGCGCGCGCCGGGAGCGGGCTTATCATGAGCCGCGCTGTTGCTATGGGTCGGCAGCTCCGTTGCCACGGCGCCAACAGGAGGCCCTGGATGGAGGGGAATCTTGTAAAGGGAAAAGACTGAGACTCCTCGCTTTGCGCAAGCGTTAAAAGCACGCAACCTGTGGAGACTGCTGCGCCACACCAGCTGTCTCAAAAGACATGAAATTCAACAGATGAACACGAGAATGAGGGGGCATGAGTGATGGTGCTTCATTTCAGCATTTGAGATGCTCTGAACAGAATAATCACTGATGCGCCGATGACACCACCCCGAGTTCATTTGAGCTGTTGGACTGTGATCAATGCAGTCTGGCCGCACAAAATGATTAAAAGGCCATTTTAAGTCTGAAGCAGCTGACAGGATAATCGATTGACATCTGTGTGCGCGTCTGTGACCACATGATACATGATCAAGCCGTGGCGTGTCCATAAGCAGCCGCACGAGCCAACCAACAAGTTCATCAACTACATGCATTTCCCTCCAAAAATAATATTAGAATAGCTGTTGGGCATGAGTGGCTAAATTTCATGACATTTGTTGATCGTCCTCCAAAAGCGATTTCAGTGCGCATAGTGTGTTTGGAAATGGATAGGTTCGGGTACACCCCCGCGTCATGCCCATGATAATGCCAACACACTCATCATACACCCCCAACACATCCATATGGCACACACACACACACACACACACACACGCGCGCGCACACACATAGTTTCCAAACAGAGGGAAGACAAATGGAAAAATTACCTTGATGGTTTTCAAGGGTGTCCTCCGGTATGTACATGTTTTTGCTTTCATTTACCATATATGTGGTCCAGCTTTATCCGAAGGTAAATGAAGAAAAGGTTGTAAAAAAAGAGAAGGGGGTAGGAAAAAACAACCCAAGGGAAAGAAATGAAAGAAAAAGGGGGAAGCAAAAAATGAAAAACGCAAAGCGTAAGATATTCCTTCTCTCGCGGCTTAGTTAATATTACCTGATCCCCATTATGGAGCTAAAGATCAGGAAAGGATATTCGCAGGAGCCACCTAAGAAAACGAACCAGTGCATCTTTGGAACATCCGGGCCCTACCTAAGAAACATGATACCAGCGCCGCTTGCTGATAATCGATAATCAAATCGGCGCGATTGGCTCGGAAACGGTTCGAAAAGGATGCTGCAACAGCCAGAAGAAGCGCAGGAAAAGCGGGCGTAGTTTCAGAGACCGTTTCAGAAAGCGCAGCAAAAGGTAAAAGGTGTGTATATTCCAGATCTCACGGGCTTCGATCTTCGCATATGATCGACTCCATCTGAGATGTTCCACAACAGGCGTAGTTTGCGTCGCGCCTCGTTAGGAAACAGAGTGCAGAATCGGCCGCGTCCAGTCCATATTGGAGAGAAAGGGGAGTAGTCAGTCTGTGGCCCTGCGGAGAGAGAGAGCGCACACCACCAGCCTCTCTGCAATGATCTGACGACCAAACCCCCTCCCCTGTAGACTCCCTGACTGCTTCCAGATGTGACTGCGCTAGAAAGGAGAATAAATCCTCCACGCTTTTCCACACGGGGCTGTATCTCTTGAGGGAGAGAGCAAACTTGGGGAAATCGAGTCAAATCAGCTCCAACACAGTGAAGCGTTTCAATTTCTTTTACAGTCCAGAAACATTTGAGAAGGTGATTTGTACCACAGCGAATCTGGTGTAAATACGCTCACCGTCACGGCTCCATGCACCATGTTTAGACATTATCCACTTCCTGCTGGCTGCTGTGATGCCACTTAAATGGGTGAATGTTGAGTTCCCCATGCAGCAGCAGGTGCCGGGACGATTTTTTCCCCTTCAGCTGAGCTTTAACCGACCTGATCCTCCCATGGCAGGACAAGCGGTTTCCTAAGGACTGGCGGGCTCTGATAAAGGGGACGATGGGGCCTGGGAATTTCTGCAAGATGACTGAGAATATTTCATCAGCAAACGGCCTTGTACGAATTTAGCAGGCCCTTCCCTGGTCCCTCCCTCCAGCCATGAGAAAACTTCACATATCCCAAGAGACACCCCTGGCCCCAGATTATCCTTTCTCTCTCTCTCTCTTGCGCTTTCACTCTCTGTGCATCAGATTTTTTTTTTTTTAATATTCAAGCAGTCAGAAGAATCATAATGCATAAGTAAGAAGAGACACTCAGAATTGCAGGTTTTCAGATGTTCCCCTGGATGAAGGAAGAACAAGGTTCCCGGACATTTAATCTACGGCCAAGTTCTTTGATCGGATTTGGCTTTGAACAAAAATTCATGACAGAGGTCAACGATTTCCCTTCAGCATCCCCAAATAATTGATTCACTTTGGTATGCTTATACAAAGCACAGAGGAAAAGTTCGCAAAGTGTTTTTCAGTCCCACCCTGTAATCATGAGCCTCTGGGAATCCAGGGATCCAGAGAATCACGGGCATCGGTACAGAAGGAAAATTTGTTAGGTTAATTTGCCACTTAAAAGATTACAAATATCCTCCCAGCTTCCAGGCCCACATTTCAAATGTCAAGACTAATCATGTCAAGACTAATAATGTCTGTCTGCACACGGAATATGATATAGGCCTACAACAGTGGTCGTGCTCTACATGATTCTTTTACTAATACTATAATTATACCAATTTACTAATTAACTGAACATAACTGAGGCGACACATCCTCTTCCCTTCTGTACTGTTTCTTAACCTATTTGTTTTAGGTCTAAAGTAAATGTTAACTGACAAAGTTAAATAACTTTTTTGAACAAAATTTTATCAGCTAATATTTTTAACATAAAAAAAACTGCACTGGCTGATGTGTTTTCTGGGAAAGGTTTCAAAATCCTGCCGAGAACGATGATAAACCACGAGTAATTGTGTAGTGATGCCCTCTAGTGTCGTGTGAGTAAAGTGCTGTTGAGTAAATTGACCTTTATATGGTAAATTGACTTGGAAAAAAACACTATATAATTTGACAGTCACCCTGAAGCAACCCTGGTATCTTGCTCAAGGGCACAATAGTACCATTCACTTTCTAGGTTTTCCCTGTTGCAACCTTAGAGTCCTAAGTTGAAAGTGCACTCGGTTTTTGTTTGTTTATGTTGCAGCATCATGCAAAAATATATTCAGCTACTAGTGCAATTGTAAAAATGAATTATTTGCAGTAAGACTTGATCAATTTATTAAGTCAAAAGAGTCAGATAATATGGGGGAAATTATCAAACAAATATGTGATTTCCATGTGAAGAGCCATTAAAAAAATTACCACCTTTTAAATGACAGAGGTTTGACTATTAAAACTGCACCAAGACAGTATGGCTTCTGGGCTGCGAAATATGTTTTGGAGAGAATATTCAAACAAACAATTGCAAAATGCCTACCAGAACAGGAATAGAGCAGGAATGCGAGAATTTCAAATCCTCAAGATCTCCACTGCATGCAGCGTCAGCTCACTTCGGTTGTATATTATCAATGGCCATGATGTAAATTAAAGATCTGGCGGGGTTTCAGGTGAGCTCAATACAGCTCTAGGGGGCGGTGTTTCAGGCTCATCGGTTATTCGCGCTCGTTGATTACTTTTCCTGTGTGCGCACCCTCTCAGAGATCAGCTCGTTCTGTCTTCTTGACAGCGCAAACATGGCGAGAACGGCAGTGGGTCAGGAGTTAGATAAGTGAAATGAAGCGCTATATTCCTGTTTTACTGATTTGCAGAACATTGGAAACATATACCAGTAGATCGGAGCGTGAAATAAAGTGCCTCCGTGCTATTTTACAGAGTTGGACCTCGTTTTAAAGGAATTTTAAGATTTGTGCGATATTTGAAGTGCAGGTAAGTTTCACTCCCGTTCTATCTATAACGGAGCAACAGCAGCTCACCAAGGCCTCATTTTATTTATTTGTAAACGTATAGATGCATGAATTATTCCATTATTAGTGGTACTTTCTAAAGCAAGCATCAGTATTACTGTTTTTCATACACTGTTGTGGATTTGGGTAACTGCTAATCCGCAATATGAAACTTCTGTGTGTAGTTTACTTTCACAATGTGCTACAGAATGGTGACTCAAATCGAGACGCGCTATTATATTTTAAAGCAATCGTATTTACGGCTTGGCGTGCGACCCGAACCAAATCAAGGAGTCTGAATACATTAAAATACTTGGCGGTGGGATCTTTTGACCCGGGCAAGTAAACAAACAGTGAGAATACTGTAGCAACCGCATAGGATCTCCTAATCAACCTCACTTCATCATTGATGTGTTTTGCACGGGCACGTGCCACACATTTGTTTTTGTTTTGTTTTAAAAATGCCTTCTTTATTATTCCATTAATTTAATGCATAAACATACAGCCCTGATTTGTGTACATTTTTGTTAAATGTTATGACATTCACAACTTCAACAGGCCTACTTTTATCAAATATTTAAATGCATTCGGGTTTGATCGTTTTAAACCTTTGTTTTAAACTATAATTTGTATTAAATTTTATATGTACATTTTTAGAGGTAAAAAGCTAACTATTGAGAGTTGAGACAAATGGGCTGGTGGAGATTGTTGTAGGTACAGCTTTTTGATCATATACTGTATAAGACATACAAGACAATATGCAGGTATGCAGAAAAAAACACAATGTGCAATATAAAGATCACTGAACTGAAATATATTTCAGATAAAGGAGATTTCTGTGCAGTAGCTCTGTACAAATATTCCTAATAGGCTATGATGGTGTGCATGCAAACAAGTGCCTGCGGGGTAATATAGTTACTCTTAAGACTATTTATTGAGCGGCCTGACAGCTGTCGGAAATAAACTCTTTGATTTGAATTTTTTAAATTGTAATCTTGAGTCTGAATGTTTTTATTTCTAGAACAGGGCTGGAGCCATGACTGCAATCACAGGAGGCGTCGGGAACTGTTTGTCCATGAGTCTGTCTGCCCTGAAGAGACTCGATCCTTATATCAGCAGCATCACAGACCTGGCCAGCCAAGTAGCACTCTACACCTTCAACAACACCACTAATGAATGGGTAAACAATGATATCAACACCATTAATGACTGTATTAATGGTAGATTAATTACTATTGTTAAGAAGCTATAAATTTTAATGATTGAATGTAAAAAAAAAAAAAGGAAAAAAGTTGGATTTGTTATATAATGTTAGAATTATTTATGTCTACGTAAAATATGAATAAATAAACAAATACAAATGTAATTTTTTTTTTCTGCAGGAAAAGACAGATGTGGAGGGAACTCTGTTTGTCTATAACAGGTTTGTATGTTTTCAGCAGTGAAGCAACACACACACACACACACGTGGTCCTGAATCAGAGCCCTAGATATCTGAAGTGGTTCAAAGGATCACAGAAATAACCTTCATGATATTTTTCAGCCTTCTGATATAATACACTTGACTGCACTAACACTGCAAAACTCCCACTCACAGATGTTTAGGTCCTTCAGACTTATAAGGTTTATTTTCCCACTCATGTTGTGAGTTTTAATGTCAGTTTTCTGTGCATCAGGCTTGCCTCCCCCAGGCATGGCTTCACCATCCTAAATCGCTTGAGTATGGACAACCTGACCGAACCCATCACAAAAGACTTAGATTTCCAGCTGCAGCATCCATTTCTCCTGTACAGGAATGCTCGCCGTAAGTCTCTATATTTGTCAAATATTTTAAAAAGTAAAACTAAAAGAGTAAAAAAATATCGAGTTGTTTTTCATAAATGAATCCTTACATAATGAGATGAGAGTAAAGTATCCATGTCAGAAATGTCTATGTTATAACAGACCAGATTAAAAAACTCAATGTGCATTATACATTTACATTTATGCAGTATTATCGAAAGTGACTTGCATTGCATTCAAGATATACATTTGATCGGTTCATGCATTCCCTAGGAATCAAACCCGATTGCCATTGCTAGTGCCATGCTCTAATGCTTAAGCTACAAGAATGCCTTCTTGAGGGATTGTACATGAGATTTTGGGAGATGGCCTATTCGGCCTAAATCTATTATTTCTTGGTCTATGATTTCAGGGAAATTTAAAACTCTGGTGTTCAGCAAACAAAATTACTCTCTCTTTACATCTGTTGTTAAGACCCATCTTGGGTGATTTCATTATAAGTAGTCCGCTGAGACATCAATGTTAACACCTTGTAGTAATGTGCACTTAATTTGCATAAACTTAAGTTGAATCTGAATCTGAAATAGGTGGTTCTTTGCTTTGTTCAAACTCATAAGCATGTAAGACCCCGGTATACTTAATTTTCCGTGTTCAAATCACTGCAAATCCACGCACAAGGCAGCGCAGACACACAAATCAGACATCAGCCGACTGTGCTGATGACAAAAATCACATCACTCAGACTGTCCGAAAGCTGAAGCAAAATGCGGACAAGGGAAGCTAACTTCTGGCTTTATAAGTGCAATGGTTTTGACCACCCTGAATGTGGTTGATGTGAATGAATTTCAAAAATGTTTCGGACCCCATTTGGGTGTGTATTTAGCACCCAGTGTCAAACAGATGGCTGGAAACGGATGTTAATACCAGGTATAAACAGGGCAGGGAGCACACGGTTGTATCCATTCAAAAAATGAACTTAACAGCAATAAAAGTGTGTCTGGATTGAGAGAGCTGTCAGACTGGCGTCTGTGTGTGTGTGTGTGTGTGTGTGTGTGTGTGAGAGAGAGAGAGAGATCAGAGATCGCTGGCAGGCCTGTCTGCATTAAAAGGCTCCAGAGCCACAGTGCCTTATATGGTCTAGATTAGTGTGTGTTTCTCTTCCAGTTTCCTGCCAGCATCACAGACCCGACCAGCCAATCGTGATTAGATAACAAGCCCCTCTCACACGCACACATGCACAGACTTCCAAGGAAATTCATGATAAAGGGACCTGCAAATAGTGCATGCGGAAAAGCCCTTAAGTACTTCAGGCTGATTACATGAATCATTGTAGATCCTGATGTTTCAGACAGTCCAAAACTGATGTTTGAGCTTTGCTGTAATGATGAAAAACTGTGCTGCCTACTGCTAACTGTCTGACGGGAACCTTTATACTCGCTGCCTCCGTGTCGGCATATAGAAATGATTTGTAACCAAGTGTTTTCTTTATCTCCACTGCCTCAATGGTAGAATGTTGTGAGTGGTAGCCAAAGCCTTGCTTTGCAGTTGTAAGGATGTTTTAAGTGGTTCTTAGTTCATTGATACTGTATGTGACTACTAAGGTGTTCTGGCTCATTCTAGGGTGTTCTGGGTAGTTTCTTACAGTCAAAGAGCCCACCAACAAGTCTCAATGATAGAGTTCTCCAGGGATGACATAATTTTGTAGGCCAACCTGGAAGTTAACATCATGGTTCCCTCAACAAAAAGCATGTAGGATTTTTCCCTTGACTTTTGGAGATTATTGCAGAAAATAAGCTCTGTGACCCACAAAAGTTTATGGTTCTTACACTGTTTGTTCTTCAAGATAATCTTCACAAATTAATGTTTATGAATTTTGATGTCTAAATACAACTGCCTGAAATAAACGCAAGTATAAACACAACAAGGCTGTAAAAGCGGACTAGTTAGTCGATGAGTTTTCGACATGATGACATTTAATGTACCCGACAACCTCTATCGTCCCATTTTCCCACTTATTAGCAAACCCATTCAAAAAACCTACTGACTTCAGGTGATGGAATCAAAAGTACAGAAAAACTCATTAACAGTTTTTTTTTTTTTTATCGTTCCTGCTGCACTCTATTCTGGTTTCTAGATATGGCTTTTGTCCCTCATTCGATGCAAGTAAAAGGAATCTCTTTTGCCTGTTTTAATTCAATAAAAGCGCTGCATGTTTTAGAGTGAAGCACGGCACTGTTAGGGTAGCTGTTAGCAGCACATTATCTGCCAGTGTTTTGAGTGGCTCGGTTCACAAAATAAATTAATACATACATAAATATTAGCATTGTAATTTTATAGCTGTAAAATAAAATGATCCTTATATTATTTTCTTAAATACTCCTTTTATTCAAGAGAAATTACACCAAGTAATTTCTTTAGTTTTTTAGTAATTTCTTATGTAGTAATAATAATAATTATTATTATTATAAAATGATTGTTATTATTATTATTTTATATAATTACCATAATGATATATAATCACACAATTGCCAAATTGTACAGCCCTACAAACTATGAAAACCTGGATTTAAAAAAAGAAAATTACAATTTCAAATCACGCTGACCTAGTTTGATGTATTGTTCATATCCCAACCGAACAAACGGTTCCAGAGTTACTTTTTTTAATACTTGGTATGGGCAACAATAATACTTTGCAAACACTACTAATGAGGTTTTAGACAATGGGAAGTAAGACCTGCACTGTCTTATCTTCTACACAACGCTTTCCCTCATGTGCCGAGGGTGCTGGATTCTGTCAGCTCGTCTCTTAAACAAACGCAGTGTTGTGGTTGTGATTTGTGACAGTGTAGCTGGAGTCTTTCAGCAGGACTGTTAAGTATACAAAGCTCTTACCTCCTGGCCGCACAAACGTGTAGCCCAGCTCTCTCTCCGACACAAGCTTTCCTTTGAACCGCACCTCTACTTCCTCCTCCAGTCGCTCGTGCTTCGGCCTGCGCCGACTGAACAGCCCCCGCAGCATCTTCTTTCTCTTTCTGAGATTTGAATCCTCGGCAGATTGAAGCTTTGGTTGGCAGATTGAAGTCGGTCAGAAGTTCAGTCTCCTCAGTGTGTGTGTGGATTCAGCTCCATTCAGAAAAACATGCAGCAAACGCTCCTGCACTCTGTCTGACACGATACTCTGTCTGGGTATAGAGTTTGGGTCTCTGTTTTTCTTTTCTCTTTGTTGTGTTTTGCGAAGTTCAACTTCAAAAGCATTTGCTGTGTCCTCTCATCACTCTCTCTGTCCTCCTCCTTGTTCTCATCCCCCTCTCTCACTCTCTCTGAGATGTGTTCCTCGGTTCCCAGGCAGTATTTTGTTTGGGTTTTTCCCCCAGGCGCTGACCCATGTGGTGCACTCTGCTCTGAGAATGAACGGTTGTGAATATAGCACCAGCCCTTTCTCTCTCTCTCTCTCTCTCTCTCTCTTTTTTTTTTTTTTTTTTTTTTACTGCTCTGGGTTTTGTTATCACTCTGCTACTTCTGGAGGTGAATGGAACAGGTCCTGATTCAGCTGTCAGCACCAGGCTCTGAGGTTAGTTCATAAGGGATTCATGAGGAACCACAGTCTGAACCCATCACTGAAATCTCTGTTAATTGTTCCCAATACGGTTGACCAGTGACTGTTGATACAAGCATCTGAAGAGTTCATCTTGGTGTTTAAGGACATTTTGGTGTACTGGCACAGCAGTTGGCTCCAGTTCTGCTTGGGCACTTGGGAGTTTGGACTGTTTGGGAAAGGAATGTCGGCTAGAGTGGAGTGTGTGTATGTACGATGGCATTTTTAGTGCATGTATGCTGTCAGTTTCAGTGGTCCTTTTCCACGGGTTATTCTGATCATGTGCTAAACATTTGTGTTTTCTTCTGATCATGATTGGTTTTGGTTTAAATGTGATGGATATTTATATTAATCATGTGTGTGTATATATATTGGCAGTGTCCATCTTTGGCATCTGGTTCTATGATAAAGAAGACTGTCAGCGTATAGCGGAACTCATGAAGAAGTGAGTTTTTCCTCTATTTGCAAACTCACACAACTTTCTCTGCTCTAACTTGGGATGATTCTGGTTCTGATTTAAATTAAATGTAATGATTCCTAGTCTTTAATTTTCTTAATTAGTCTTCTAGTACATTTATGATGAATCATAACATATACTTAACACATGCTAATGTTTTTATTTCCAGAATGTGTCTAATAATTAAACCTTACATAGTAACAATACATTTGAGACTGATTCAAGACTTTTAACTTTTTTTAGACTTTCATAAAGAGCCAACTCATAATTCATTAATTCCCAAATTGGGCTACACCTTGTTTAGCTGCAAACGATGCAATAAAAAACCTGATTTACTGCAGAGGTGTCTAATCTTGCTTCTGGAGGGCTACTGACCTGCAAAGTTAACACAAATGTCTGGAAGTTTCTAGTGATACTGAAGACCTTGATTGGCTGATTCAGGTGTGTTTAAATAGGGCGGGAGCTAAACTCTTGCTACGTCCTAATTCGGCTACTTATACTATGCCCTAAAAGTATGTACTGTTTTTTGTGAATAAAAAAGACATACTTTTGAGTAAGTTGCAGAAAAGTAGGCAAGCTTTGGGACCTAATTCATCATAATTGCATCTTTAACGGACCACTCTGTCGCTTAGTTATGTGCATCCTGTTACTATTTAAACTGCCCTGTCAATCATCTTTTCACAGTTAAAATTCTCCACATTCAATTTAATTTAATTTTACTACTGTATTGGAGAGAAATGAAGTAATGCGCGATCTCCCAGTCGTGGGTCTTTCATGCAGAGAACTCTCCTCATGTATTTGCGTAATGATGCATTTAAAAGTTAATGACCAAAAGCATCTTTATAAAAGTTCACAATGCTGTACCTTCTGACCGCTGCAGATTAATTTAAGCATCTAGTGTTGCCATAGAAACACATAATTCCCAGTCCGAGGACATGAACAGTTTCTAATAGAATGTCACGTGTTGTCATCTCAAGACTACAGTAATTACTAAATCTCTCTACTTAACCGTCAGTCGCGCACATTTGCTATGTTTGTTGATTTTGTTGTTGTTCTAATCGAAATTTCTCATCCAACATTCAATGGGTTGTGGACAATATTAGCCTTTCGTGTGCATGGATCTGTACTTCAGATTCTAACCAGAAAAAATAGACTATCTTTGGAATACTCATTTCAACATACTACAATTTGAGACACACTAATTCTAATTTTGAATAATATTTAGGACGGATGGTATGCGAATTGGGACGCAGCATATGCTTGAATCTGGCCCTCCAGGAGCATGATTAGACATCCCTGATTTAGCAGTACCCAATCTTTTTATCTCATCACAATAAATTCCAACTTCAAGCTTACAATTTGTCTTTGTTATTTTGTTCTTTTTGAGGAAGAGGAAACACTGAGAATTTTAATACTTGGTTCCATTTTGGCATATAATCAAAAACCGTTAACAAAAACCAAATGTCACTACAATCTTTTGATTCCTTTATAAAAAACAAACAGCAGTTAAAAAAGAACGGGTTGTTGATTTCTAACCCTAGCTCTCACTTTCTCACTCACTCTTTCTTTATGTGTGTGTCAGTTTGGCAGGGCTTGAACAGCATTTACAGCCACAAATAGCGACTGGCTATGTCTCTCCACGAACAGCAGAGCAGGGTGTGGATATAATGCAGATGCTTACTAAAGCACGAGATGACTATGACAAGGTGAGACACAAGTCTTAAAGTCTTTTCTTTTCTTACACAACTATTAAGGTGCTTCATATGCACTAGAGGTCACCAGTGCACAGTACAGGTCTCTTACTCATGTTTTTTTCCCCCCTTTTCTTTCGTTTTAGGGAAAACTCAGCGAGCCGAAAGAAATTGGCAGTGGTGGTGTCATCTATGGAAACCCCCATCTGATCAAACCCATTCCCCTCAAACCAGCACAGGACGCACACATTCAGGGACAAACACAGCAGGTGCAATCTCTCAGCATGTTTGTGACTCAGTTTGTGTTATCTGTAAATGCTTAAATGTGTAAAAAAAAAAGTTTTACTCTCTCTTAGGATACAGAAATGGACTCAAAGCACCTCTCAGTTGTCACTTTGTTTGGTGCTCAGTCAAAGCTGGACTGTGTCTCACCGCAGCCCAGCTCGACTGTCAGCAGGGTAGGTCCAGCACGGTCTGCGGTGGCCCGCTCCCTGTCTTATGATGATCCTTCTCCGGCAGGGGGCGCTGTGGTGTCCAGCACCCCCATGCAGCACTGTCCAGCCATCCACAAGCTCATGTCTGGTTCGCTGCTGCAGCCTCTGTCTGAATCCCCAGAGAGCCGTCTGTGTGAAAACGGGGCAGCCCAGAACCAGCCTGACCCAATACAAAAACTGCTAATGAACCCTCCTCCTGTGGCAGGCACCCCTGGGATGCCTTCCTTATTATTAAGTCAGGGAGAGTGTGGAGTGGGGCCCCAATTCCACCATATGGCTAAAGCCTCCGGGCCGGCACTGGCTCAACACCTGATCTATGTCCCAACTAAAGCGCCGACTGCTGGAGTGGCAGGGAATGTGGTGTCGCCTCATGAGCTTCTGCAGAGGCTCACGTTGGTACAGCAGGAGCAAGAGCTCCATCCCCGTCAGGAGCTCCTACAGCCCAGCCTGACCGTCAGCACCTCCAGTCTCAGCCAACCCAATTTGACTCAGGTGAAATAAATCAGTCAATTATTTTGATTAAACTATTTGGGAATCTTTAGGCATCTGTTGCATTTATGCTTCTTACACAGACATCTTCAACTTTCAGATAAATAGCAAGTCATTCTGAAGCATCCTGTATCTGTAACCTGGGATTTAATGTGTGTGTGTGTGTGTATGGGTGCAGGTGATCTCACCGCAGCGTATCCCAGCAACTATAGCCCCCACCCTCCTGTCACCCAGTGTGTTCGCCCAGACTAAAGCCACGCGAGCAGAACCAGAACCAGCTGAACCCAGAGCACTTAGCAAGATTCAACTACAGGCTACATTGATCCACCTTATCAAGGTCAGAACCAAACCCATGTCCATCTAGATTATTACAATATTAATAATATAGTTTAGAGATGCACCAACATTTTGACTCAAAACACTTTATATATATATATACATATAAAATTGCATACATGTATATATAAAATTGTAATTTATTATATATTATATTGTGAAATTAGTGCAATTTAAAATAACTTTTCTATTTGAATATATTTTAAAATGTAATTTATTCCTGTGATGGCAAAGCTAAGTTTTCAGCAGCCATTACTCCAGTCTTCGGTGTCACATGATCCTTCAGAAATCATTCTTGATTGCTGAAAAAAGTTGTCCTGCTTAATATTTTTGTGGAAACTATGATACTCTTTTTCAGGATTCTTTGATGAATAGAACGTTCCACACTGTCCAAACAGTGTTAATTTGAAAAATAAATATTTTGTACTTTACAAAATAATACTTTACTGTCACGTTTGATCAATTGAATGCTTCCTTGATGATGATGAATAAAAGTATTATTATTATTTTTTTATTATTATTATTATTATTTTAAACTCCAAACTTTCGAACAGTAGTATATCTAACATTAATAGAATTTTTGATTTTCTATTTAAGTCCAGCAATATTTTTTTTATCAAAAGGGACCCTCCGTCTTAGTGTGTTTGACTGTGAAAGCTGCCCTACCTCTAATGATTTGTTTCTCTCTTTCTGTGATTCAGAATGATGCCTCATTCCTGGACACCATCTATGAAGCATACGTCTCCCGTCTCGCAACAGACTTCAGCTCAAAACTTTTCTAAAGCAGGAACACCATCTGAGCGTGTACATACATGCAGCTTGCACGCTCTGAACACATATCTGCATCCCATCTCAGGACTACCCTACTGTTCTGAGTGTAGCGTCCAATGAGTTCAGCTCCTCAGCAACAGATTCACAACAGGAAAACCAGTTTGGTTGCAAATTGTATGAATTTTAGAATTTAAATTTTTTAACAATTGGGAATCTTAAGTATTTTACTTTTTGGAAGGAGAATTTTATAATGGAAATTTAATTTAGCTTTCAGACATCAGGGCTGGAAATGTGCTGTCTGTTGAGATGGAAAGACATTCTTCTTTTTATAAAGGCATTTTTACCTTTGCATATCTAAACAGACCCACAAAAGAAAAAAACAGGACCCTAGCCTCAAATATAATAGAAATAACATGACGAATAACAAGACAAACATGTCTTGTCTTGGTTTCTATCATCTTCAAATCACAGCCGACAGACAGAAAGCTTCTTCATCCATTCACAAGCCAGCAGGAAGAGTTTATTCATTTTAATCACATCTTTAAATTGAAAATGGATTTTGTTTAAATGTACAAACAAGAGTGTACATATATATATTCTATTTTTCTATGGTGTGTTACTTCTGTTCTTATATCAACATGCTGGAATATTTTTAGGTTCCCTTTTTTTAAAAACAACCCAATACCATGTCATCAGTGTTTTCCAATCAACGGGTTAAAATTTAAAACAATTATTTTCTTCCATTTGTTTTTCTTATTAAAATAATGTCTCAACACCCCATATAGTGTATGCTCTCTGATCTTATTGGTTTTAACATGCTACATGTGATCTGTTATGGCTGAAGCCTGTGTGAAAGGTTTCATCATACACTACCATTCAAATGTTTAAGATCAATAAGATATTTTTAGTTTGTTTTGAAAGAAATTAATACTTTCAGTAAGGATGCATTAAATTGATCAAAAGGGACAATATAGATATTTATGTTACTAAAGATTTCTATTTCAAATAAATTCTGTTCTTTTGAACTTTCTATTCATCAAAAATTTCTGAAAGAAAAATGACCATTTCCACAAAAATAGTAAGCAGCACAAATGTTTTTAAAATGAATAATATGAACAGTTTCTTGAGCAGCAAATCAGCAAATTAGAATGATCTCCGAAGGATCATGTGACACTAACGCCTGCAGTAACGGCTGCTGAAAACTCAAATAACAATATTATTTCACAATATTACCGTTTTGAGACTATTTTTTTTATCAAATATGGTGAGCATAAGACTTCTTTCAAAAACATGAAAAAATCTTACATGCCTGTTGACAGGTTTGTCTAAACCATATCCACATCAACTAGCTGATGGCTTAAATAAAAACAAAGCGGTCTTTGGCCAGGGGTAGCATGATGTCTTATACAGTCCTCTATTGGACCGGATTAAATCTCAGGACTTTTTTTGTTTTAAGGCCCATTCACACCAAGAACAATAACTATATTGGCGGACGATGTCATTCTGTTTATTCTACGTGTGCTGCAGTTTTGTTGTCGCTTTTAATGCTCAAGCTCTTTAAAGCAGGATGGATTCTGATTGGCTGTCAATGTTTTTATCATTCATCAGCTGGAGTTTACCTGTATATTTGTTGTGTGGACTCTCTTTAGAACAATTAAAATATATCTATATCATTATAGTTATTGTCCTTGGTGTGAATCTGCCTTTATTGTCAACATTTGTACACTAATAAGTATAATTGTTTAAATCTGTTTAATTCCGAGGATTGTTACCTGACATACAAATAGAAATCTTTATACAGTAATTACAAACAACTGAAAAAGTCATTGAATTTGATTGGTTAAAGGCTGTGGGAACCCTTTTAACGAGACATCTTGCTGCCCTCTAGTCTTCCCAGTTAATAACTGATTGTGTGGATTTATGAGCTAGCAGCTATCATAAGCATTAGAGCTGATGAACTCATAAGCAATCTAAAATAAGTGCTTTAATCTAAATAAGTATGCCCACAGCCAGAGTGCTACCGGGAGTGCATGTGCTGTTATGGGTGATATATTATAAACGAATGCTTCATGCTTAGACTTTGTGTGTTGGGTTCAGCTGATTTGTATGGTCTGTCCCACTCACACACGGTCACATTACGACCCAAATGTTTGAATACAGGAAACAAGGGAGGATCACATGCATGTGTGTTTCACTCCGGGTATTTTTGTACCCTGTGTAAGTCAGTAACCGATTAGTTTTATTACAGCATTTATGTTTGACATCAGTCTAATTTATTCTCCTGACATTTAGATAATGGGGTTCTACACCAAGACTTAAAGGAGAACTCCGGCGCAAAATGAACCTTTGGTCTAATTACACATTGTTACCTAGTCAACCGTTATCTGAGATTTGTTTTCATGATTATCGAATGTAAATAGTTTTATCTCTACAAACAGTTTAGCCTATAAAGCTAGTATAACGCTAGTATATTGGGCATAGTGTAATGACAAATAAAAATCGCTTGTTAATACCACTAACAAGGCTCAAAATAGCCCCACACTAGCACGGTAGCATAATGAGGGTCCCTACCTTCAAACCGAAGCATTGAGAACTTTGTCAGTGTCCAGACAGTTTAATAAGAAGATATTTTAAACATACAGTCAACTTCGCGTATACAGGCAGGAGCCATCTTTGAAATACAGCCTTTACCAGTCGATCTACGAACGCCGATCCAAGCCTGCTGTTCGCGCTCACCTTATCACAACTTATAGCTCGTTCACATTCTCACCAGCGCACTTGGATCGGCGTTCGTAGATCAACTGGTAGAGACTGTTTTTCAAAGATGGCTTCTGCCTGTATACGCGAAGTTGACTGTATGTATAAAATATCTTCTTATTAAACTGTCTGTACACTTACAAAGTTCTCAATGCTTCGGTTTGAAGGTAGGGACCCTCATTATGCTACCGTGTTAGTGTGGGGCTATTTTGAGCCTTGTTAGTGGTATTAACAAGCGATTTTTATTTGTCATTACACTATGCCCAATATACTAGCGTTATACTAGCTTTATAGGCTAAACTGTTTTTAGAGATAAAACTATTTACATTCGATAATCATGAAAACAAATCTCAGATAACGGTTGACTAGGTAACAATGTGTAATTAGACCAAAGGTTCATTTTGCGCCGGAGTTCTCCTTTAATATCAACAATAAACATCAGTTTATTAAAATCAATCAAATTTACAATAAAAAATCATAACAGTTCTAGCCAGATGCATGGTTAATACATTATGAATTTATTCAACAATATGCTGAAAATTGTAGGTTGCCTTCTACAGAAATATGTAGCCTACTTGGATGAAAACTGGGAGATTAAAAGACCAGCGTTAAAAGGATAACTTTTGTCACACTACTGTTCAAAAGTTTGGGGTCAAGTTTTTTCATGTTTTTTTTAAGAAGCCATTTATGCTAAGACTGTTTTCACAAATATTTGCACCCAAATATGAGCAAAACTGATTGAAAGTTCAAAAGAACAGCATTTAATCGCACTTAAACCGATTTGACTTATCGTGATTTATAAATTTGAAACTGTGATAATGTCTCGCCACTGTTTGACCTTGACAAGCTCTCGTCTGCGGATGACTTGGTTGCTTTGTACAATGGCACCCTGACCAGCCTGCTTGATAGCTTAGCGCCAGTTGGGACTAGACTTGTACCAGCAAATCGTACATGCCCCTGGTTCACCCCTGAGCTCAGGCAACTTAAGGCCGCTGGCCGCCGTCTCGAACGGCTATATAAGAAAACTGGCCTTACAATTCACTCCATGCTTTACACCGAACATACTCAGACGTATAGGGATGCCCTCGATGCTGCCCGCTCAAACTATTATTCATCACTCATAACCTCCTCTATGTCCAGGCCTAAAACCCTGTTCAGGACCTTGGACAAACTCATTAAACCCCCTGTCACTGCCTGTCCTAAGACCCCTGAGCAGTGCCAGGCCTTCTTACACTTCTTTGATGACAAAATTAGCCAAATCTACCAATGCTTCAACCCAAATGCTATCTCTCTCTCTTCTTCTCCTTCCTCTCTAGGCCCTCAGCTTTCCCATTTCACTGCTATAGACTCCCTCACTATCACTGACATTATAAATAAGTCTAACTCCTCATCGTGTCAGCTTGACCCTGCCCCCACCCCTCTACTTAAAACTTGCATCATATCCTTATCTGAACCCATTGCATTTATTGTAAACACCTGCCTCAACTCTTGTGTTGTGCCTGCTGCCCTTAAGACTGCTGCAGTCACACCAATTCTCAAAAAAACGGACTGCGACCCCACATCACTATGTAACTACCGCCCTATCTCCAACCTCCCCTTCCTGGCCAAGGTATTGGAAAGAGTGGTGGCCTCACAACTACACACCTTTCTGAATCACCATGACCTGTATGAGCCCTTTCAATCTGGTTTCCGTTCTTGTCACAGTACAGAGACTGCCCTTCTGCGCATCGTTAACGACCTTCTACTGTCTGCTGACTCTGGTTCACTTAACATTCTCATACTCCTTGACCTTAGTGCTGCCTTCGATACCATCAACCACAATGTTCTAATCACCCGTCTGTCTGCTATTGGTGTTTCTGGTACAGCCCTCATTTGGTTCCAGTCTTACCTCTCCAACAGAAAGCAGTTTGTGACGCTTGGTCCTCATCAGTCTTCCAAGTCCCCTGTCACCCGTGGTGTCCCCCAGGGTTCGGTACTTGGGCCCCTCCTCTTTCTCATATACATCATCCCTATTGGCCCGATCATACGCAGCCACGGTCTTAAATTCCACTGTTATGCAGATGATATCCAACTCTATTTGACCACTCACTCTCCAACTGATTCACCACCGTGCTCCCTCACTGACTGCCTCTCTGACCTAAAATTATGGATGCAAAACAATTTTCTTAAACTCAATACAGATAAAACTGAAATTCTGCTGATTGGCCCTAAAAGCATCCTTTCTAAATCTCCCAGTCTCACCCTTAATATTGATGGTTCATCTGTCCACCCCTACCCCTGTTGTCAAAAACCTTGGCATTTTGCTTGACTCCACCCTTAGCTTTGATCCTCATATCAAATCACTCACTAAGACTGCCTTCTTTCACCTCCGCAACATTGCTCGCCTCAAACCCTTCCTCTCTGTTAGTGATGCACACACTTTGGTTAACTGCTTCATTATGTCCCGTCTAGACTACTGCAACTCACTTTTCTTTGGTCTCCCTGTGAAATCACTTCAAAGATTACAATATATTCAAAACTCGGCAGCCAGACTCCTCACCCATGCCAGACGATCAGCACACATCACCCCCATTCTCTACCAACTCCACTGGCTACCAGTTCCATCCCGGATCAAATACAAAGTACTACTACTCACCTTCAAAGCGCTCCATAACCTTGCTCCCCACTACATCCGCGACCTCCTGATCCCGTACACTCCATCCCGCTCACTCAGATCCTCTGACCAAAATCTCTTGGCTATCCCCCGCTCCAGACTTTCCATCCTGGGTGGCAGATCCTTCAGTGCCTTGGCCCCCAAACTCTGGAACAGCCTCCCTCAATCTCTTCGTGACTGTCCTTCACTTTCCCTCTTTAAAGCTCATCTCAAAACCTTTTTGTTTAAGGAACATTTTTCCACACCAAACTCATAGCTTCACACAGATTACTTGTCTTTGTTGTATTGTTTTGGTTGTTGCTGTTGTGTATACTTGCCTTTCCACTATGTAAAGCGACCTTGGGTTTGAGAAAGGCGCTATATAAAATAAACTTATTATTATTATTTATTTGAAATATTTATTAATTATTTATTAATTTATTAAATATTTTTGAAACATTACATGTGTCTTTACTGACACTTTTTTCAATCAATTTAATGCTATCTTGCTGAATAAAAGTATTAATTTAAAAAAAAAATCTTATTGACCCTTACATTTTGAACTTTCTTCTTTTCCTCAGTCATATTGTCAATACATAGCAATTAAATCCCTTAAAACCAATCTAAAAAAAACACAATAAAAAAATATATCTTTCACAATAAAGCTTAAAATTGTTCTCTCTTGCATGAGCAGTGCAAAATGCATCATTCTGTAATCAGTCACGGTCTCCTTCATTGTCACAAGACTGAAATCCTCAGCTCACATCTGCAAGCACAAGCACAGGTGTGCATCTTTCTGAAGGATGGAAGCTGTTATCTACACTAACTAGGTCAGCGGACGAAATCCAGAGCATGCCATCTGGAGACTGAAACTCACAATCCTGTGTGTGTGTGTGTGTGTGTTTTAGGGAAACAGGATGAGTGATGTATACAGATGATTGTTTTAAAGAAAAGTAGAAGTCATGGTATAAAATGAAGACAAAAATTTGGACTCTTCTTCAGTAGATATCAAAAATTACATTAGTGCAATGTGTTCATAGTTAATGTGATGAACAACACATGTGAAATTGTTACTTTATAGCATGCACTGTTCAAAACTCGGGTCAGTAAGATTTGTTTTACTTAAAATACTTTCATTTAGCAAGGAGGCATTAAAGTGATCAAAAGTGCCAGTAAAGATGGTTTTGCGTTCCCCAAGAAAATATGTTTGCTCACAAACCTTTTCCATTTTGCTGAAAAACTGTGCTCTCTTGAAAAACTTTTGTGATGAAATAAAATGAGAATATATATATTTATAAATAGATATATATAAAAATATATATTTCAATGCTTTTGCATGTGAACGCAAAGTTTCTCAAGGGAACGCAATAGTTTAGAGTGAAAGCGCAAATGTTTTGCAAGCGAACTGAAAGTTTCTCGGGGGAAAGCAATACTATTACGAGAGAATACAATACTTTTGCGAGAGAATGCAAAAACAATGAAATATATCCCATCCCATATTTTTTTTTTTTTTTAACCATCACCATGTCCCTTTAGGAGCTCCATACAGTAAAAATCACTTTGGGCAGTTGTTTAAAAGTCAATACATAAATGGCTAGAAAAGTTGAGGAAATATCTAGCATAATTTGCTTGTAGGTTCCACTGGCGCAATGACATTCATACATTTCAAGTGCAGCTTCAGTGTCCCTTTTTGGTGCAAGGTTTAGTTTCCTTCTTTCTGACTGGACAGACAATGGCTATCTCCCGAAACACTAATAATCCTCTAACAGAAACCCTCTCCCGCTCACCCTTTTCTCTTTCTTTTTATCTCTCTATTCCAATACATCTGCCCCTCACCCACCCTACATACTCTACATCTCTCCCTCCCTGTCTCTCTCCCCCACTGTGGAAGTTGAGTGTAATCCATGTGGATTATCATAGTGGGGAGGGCAAAGGCAGTGTGTAAGTGTTTCTGTTTCAGTTCCTCCCAGCTGTGTTGAACATAAGATGAGCATGAGAGAGAAGAGAAGAAATCGGTGGAACTCTTAGAGGATTTGTATAAAGAAATGGTGTGACGAAGAGAATGATGGAAAGAAGAGATGTAAACATCAAGGGGGGATGATCAGGAATGGGGATAAAAGAGCCGGATGTCATTATTTCACAAGAACTTTCCGGGAAGAATTTCTGTGCCATCCAAAACACACTTCTGAAGCTTCCGGAGTGTCTGTTGGCTACAATCTGATATCAAGACTAGACTGGGATTACCGCAGATAGTCTGTCTTCAGGATCCAGTGAGCTGGAGATCACACAAACTGCTGTTTTATGCACGTGTCAGGGGTTGATGGGTAGGATGAAGGGCATCACACTGTTTTGGGTGCTGTTTTCAAGTTGGACCATCCAAACACAAGCTCAGATGAGGATATCGCCTGAAACGTGAGTCCAGTTCATCTCAGCACAAGTTTAGCTTAACCCTCAAAACACTTCCAAACAACCCCACAGCTACAAGATATGCACAATGTGAGAGAAACTATCATCTTTTTAGGCTCCTGTATTGCTAAATGTAACATAAATATGGACTTTGCCCTCACACATTTAAGAAACTCATAGTACAGATGAACCACCATAGCACTCCTCTGAATCCTTGTGCAGAACTGCAGTATGTCCCCAGATCTCATCTTAATGCGTGCAGGTCATGACCCGCACACCTCCTGTCACTGCTTGAACACAGCTACTGTAAAAACACTGTAAGCCAAAGCTTAACCTCCAATTGGCAACATTCGCTCAAAATCCACACACACAGCCTGTTTGAACAGACTTTTTGATCTCTCTGAGGGCTAATTTAGTTCCTGAAAGTCAAATTATGGAAAACAAGCTAACTTTAATAAGCTTAAAATCTTTAGTCACACTGGCAGCAAAAGCAGAAAATTGTGCCTCTGTGTTTTCAATAACAATGTTTTCCCTCACCATCAGTTAAAATCCTCCATGTTTGAGAAATAAATGGCTAACTGCTTCTGATTTCAAGGATCTCCTTGTCATTAATCAAAATATGAGTTTTCTAGGTTTTAGTCCATATGTGTTAGATAACATATACACTACCATTCAAGTTTGTGGTTGGATTTTGTAATGTTTTTGAAAGAAATCTGCTTACCAAGGGTACATTTATTTATTATTTATAGTAAAAACTGTAATATTGTGAAATATTACTACAATTTAAAATAACTGTTTTCTCTTTTAATATGTTTTATTCCTGTGATGGCAAAGCTGAATTTTTAGCAGCCATTTTTCTAGTCTTCAGTATCACATGGTCCTTCAGAAATCATATGCTGATTTGCTTTAAGAAATATTTTATTATCAGTGTTGGAAACAGTTGAGCTGCTTAATATGTTTGTTGAAACAGTGATAAATTAAGGATTCTTTGATGAATAGAAAAAAAACCAGCATGCTTTTGTAACATTATAAATGTTCTTAATGTCACTTTTGATCAATTTAGTATGTCCATGCTGAATAAAGGTATTCATTTCTTTCAACAACAACAAAAAAAATCTTCCTTACTCCAAACTGCTAGACTATACTACATATTTTCATCCAATCAAATGCTCTCTAGAATGAGAAAGTCCCTCCCCTAGACATTTTATTGTCTGAAATGGCAGTTACTTGATATTTATTTTAAGATCCATTTTAAAATTAATTAGATTTAATGTCTAATGCTTTTCGTTTGTGTTTTGAACAGGGTTCAACAGTGGGCCAGTGCCTTTGGAAAACAGATTCGGGCCTTGTCAAACAGATACTCAGGTGCCCAACTCTTACAGAAGGTTTGTCTATTGTGACAGTAAAAGAATGAGTTATGACTCTTCTGCAGTTTAGCACTGCAATTATATTTTTTTACTCCTGATTATTACTGAAATTTGTCTTTACCCCCTTATTTCAATCCTAATATCAAAGCAATCAGGGACATTTCTGATATTGTCTGATAATCTGCAGAGGAAGCAGGTTTTATCTGTAAATCACTACATTAGCAATGAGTCTAACTGCTGGTAAATGTTATGTGCAGCTGTGTCCAGTTATCTGGCATCTGTTTGAATTCACACTACACTCTAATTAACACTACTTTGTACTGTTAACCACAGACCCGGTGCCATACGAGCAGCCCATCTGCATACCAGAAAGACATATAACGACCAGTTTATACTGTATCTGACCTGAATATGTAGGCGTTCTTTCACCTTAAGGCCCTTTATTAGTGCAGCACATCAGCAGGATGTGCCTGAACAGTGAGGCAGGAAGAGGATTAACCTTCCCAGACTGCAGCATCTCCTCCTCCCTCTATTCCTTCTCTCTCTTTTTTGTTTTTGTGGGTCTAATCTAAGCTCAGAATAAAGCCTGGTACTCTTACAGTGTTTTGTGGAGGTGGATTATCCCTGTCTGACCTCGTGTTCCAATGGCCAATTGGTGGAGAGCAGGATTCATGGAGATTCTGCTCTCAGTGGCCTTTGATAGAGTGCTGATCTAGAGTTTGACCTTTGCTTTGCTTTAAACAAAATGTCCCCATAAAGATAGTAATACTAGCAATTTTTAACATGTGGGGACATTTTTTGGTCCCAATTAGGAAAACAGCTTATATAAATCATACTAAATTATGTTTTTTGAAAATGTAAAAATGCAGACATTTTTCTCTGAGGGTTGTGTTTATGGGTTTATGGGAATGTTTGTACAGTATAAAAATCATTATGTCTAAGTTCCCATAAAACGCGTGTGTGTTTGTTTGCATCTGTGCGTAGAAATATAAAGATGTGGAGCCCATTATCAAGATGGTGGAAGTGGATGGTATAAAGATGGTGAAGGAATTTGCTGAAGAAATGGAGAACATGCTGGGCAGGAAGATGAAGTCGGTCAAGGTCAGAGAAATCAGTATATTGTAGTAATGTGTAATTCTAAACAGTTATAGAAACAAAATATGAGACATTTTTAATTATTTAATTAAATTATTTGTTGTTTGTTGTTTTTTGGATGATCAAAAAGGAGGCAATCTCCTGAATTTATTTTAATGTGTTTTATACAGAGAATGGCAGAGATAGCAGAGGATGCAGATTTATATCATGAATATAATGCCACATTAGAGGTGAGCTATCCATCGTCCATCCTTCCCCTTATTCTCCTGTTCATCCCTCAGTCTATTCATATATTTACACTTGTTGTTCTGCAGTTTGACTACTACAACTCCATGATGATTAACAAAGTAAACGAGGATGGGAACAATGTGGAGCTGGGGGGTGAATTTCCTCTGGAGGAGAATGAACACTTCAACAAACTGCCTGTCAATACTCAGCAAAGTGTCATACAAGTGCCCACCAATGTCTATAACAAAGGTAAGACACAGTGCATTCTCATCCCTGATTAGAAACCGAAGATAAAGCAGATCTCTCTCTGTCTCTCAGATCCTGATATTCTGAACGGAGTGTTTATGTCAGAAGCACTGAATGACGTATTTATCAGTAACTTTGAGAAGGACCCGACTCTAACCTGGCAATACTTCGGCAGTTCATCGGGATTTTTCAGACTTTACCCTGGTAATCATCAACAGCCTTAGCCCTTCAAATGCAGCATTGCAGGTTACTGAACATGCAGTTTTGCTCATTCAGACACAGGACAGAGAGATGAGAGTCTGATTGACACAGAATTACTGGTGTAATTATTTGTGACAATGACTCAGGCCTCTTCTCTCTGCCTCTCTCATTCATCATCATGTCATCACAGTATTGACACAGTAACCAAACTGATAAACTCAGGCTTCCCAGATCTTACATGCATATGGACACATAACTCCTTCTCCATCTCTCTCATGGAGAGGAGACAGTAAATTAATTCAATTCTATGATTTTTAAGGTATCCAGTGGACACCTGATGAAAATGGAGTTGTCACTTTTGATGGCAGGAATCGCAACTGGTGAGTTTGAATGTGTGTTTGTGTGTGTGTGTGTGTGTGTGTGGATGTACTACTGTATAAAACTACAATAGTGTCCATTGTCCAGTCAGTATTTTTTTCTTTTGTAAGAAATGAACACCTAATCAGCAAGGATGCATTAAATTGATGCGAAAAAAGTGACACTAAAGACATTTACATTGTTACATTACAAAACAAAACATATTAGAATGATTTATGAAGCCTCATGTAAGCATAAGAGACTTCTTTGTAAGTCATTAAAAAAAATCCTACTGACCCCAAACTTTTAAACGGCAGTGTACACTTCAACATCAACTAGTCGGTGGGATGTGTTAGTGGCAGCTGAATGTAATCCAAAAGAATTAATCAAAATGAAGGGGTCTTGTGTCTTGAATTATTTTTAACCTGACACACCTTAAAAATGTGACGCTCATGACAGAAATTCAAAAACTGTCAAGGACTTAAGGCAACATCAAAAGATTAGTGATTTGGCTGCAGTCCAGGGTCAAGCAGCAGGTCGGATCTCAGTGAAAGATTTTAATCTAGGTTCCTTTCCGTGACTGACTGCTTCATCTGCCCAGTTTCCTTAAACACCTTCTGCCAGGACTAACACTATTACAGCTAATGCACACAATCTCTTTAGCAGTAATGAACGCAAAGTACTGACCCGTTGTATTGTGTTACGTTCCTATATCTAACAGCTACAATGATCACTTGGTGTGTATATATAATTTGAGTAGTTCTGCGACACGAGTAAGTTAAAAAACTAAAAGTAAGCCAATTAAAAATGTGAATAACGGACTATTGATGTAATATTCAGTCTTCAGTTTCAGTCTCTCTCTCACTTTCTCAAAGTGATCTCATTATTTCCTTCTCTCAGAACATTACCCAGATGAGATTTCACACACTGTTATCCGGTTGAGGAATTATTACTGTGAAAGGTCTTGACTGTTTGTCAATGGCCATCTGAGTTATTTTAGTATTATATTTTCATTTTAGCCATTTAGTTGTTTTTTTGTCATCTTTATTAGTTTTAGTTTTTTAACAGTTCTATTTAACTTTATTTGCTTTTGTCAATTTAGTACTTCAACTTAAAACTTATTTCATTTATTGCCAGGGCAATATTTCTAATCTTGTTTTAGTTTATTCATCAAATATTTGTATTTTATTTTCAGCTTTGTTTCAATTAACGATTTGTAATAGTTTTAGTTAACAACACTGATCTGAGCTCGCAAGCATTTAAAAAAGACCTTTAAAAACATTTCTCTCAAACTGTATGACAAAGTATCCTTCATTTAAGAGAACACTTCTGTTTTGTTCTCTCTCTCTCAGGTACATCCAGGCAGCCACGTCCCCCAAAGACATCATCATCGCTGTGGACATCAGCGGCAGCATGAAGGGTCTGAGGCTCACTATTGCAAAACACACCATCAACACCATTCTAGACACACTCGGCGAAAACGACTTTGTCAACGTCATTGCGGTAAGAACAGAAATTTCCAAACTAAACCACCCTTATGAAAAATAAGTATACTTCAAGTTCATTTTATGAAGTATACTTAAAACTTACAGTAAGTAATGTTCAAGTATATTTTTAAGTATAATTATGTAGTAAGTATACTAATGTCAATATATACTAGTAGTAAAATTGTAAGTGTACTATTTTAATACTGCTTGGGACTTAATTGGCCCACTTTTAGTATATAAAAGTATATGTTTAAGTGTACTATAAGTGTAACAGTAGTAAACTTTAAGTGCACAAGTAGGTCATAATTATGTTTCTCATTTGTACTGCAAGTGAACTTATAGGTATACTAGTAGTTTACTATTTTAATACTTGTAGCACATTTTTAGTTTATGGAAGTACACTTTGAAGTATACCCGTACTCTCAGTAAACTACTAGTTTAGTAGTTTTATACTACAAGTTTTCTTTAAGTGAACTTAACATTATACTTATAGTTTACTATTATTTTTGCACTTGCAGTAAGCCTATACTACTATGTTCATACTTGTTTTATACTTGAAAAATACCTATAACTGTACTTTAATTTTAAAAACATTTTATTAGCTTCATGCATCCTTTTTTATCAACACTGAATGTTGGTAAGTTTCATAAAGAAAGGCAACATTTTAAACAAAAAAGTTGAGAAAATCTCATTTGTGTCAAAGACTACGCCTTGATCAGATTCAGAACGATGATCAAAACACAGATGGAGTAGATCGAGTCCAACACCCCCAAGCTTCACAGTCGTTTTCTCTTCATGTGTTACGCTTCATTTCTTTTTGGAAACATTAAGCAGTTTTGATTTACACGCTGTTTAATGTTTGATGATCACGTTATTTTACATTTGAGTGAGCAATCTTCTATCATTTGTTTCAGCTTCTTCTTCTCCTGTGTTTTGATCCGGAGATTCTGTACTAGAAGATGTCATAGCGCCCCCTACCATATAACAGTGAAAACATGGATAGCTGGAAAATTCAGTCAATGGTGAAGAAAGAGTAAAGTAGAATTAAAGTAAATTCCTTTGTATACCAGTGGACTAGCCTACACAACAATTCAGAATTAGAAACATATCTTTTTTATATCAATATTTTAATCAATATTTTCAAACAATGTAAGTTTCATAAGACTTTATATGAAAAACTATGTAAAAAAAGGTATATTTAATAGGCTCCTCGATCAAAAGAGTTAACACAACTACAAGCCAAGTATACTTTGAATACTTAATTATACTTTTAAGCATATCTAGATCAAAAGATTGAGTACAAGTACAGGCCAAATATATTATATATTCTCTCAGTATAAGTCAAGTACACTTAAGTGTAATTGTAAGTGTATTTCTGAGAAGTACATAAAGTATATTTTTGAGAAGTATATAAAATGTAGACTGAAAGTATGCTTTATTTTTTTTGTTGAAAAGAAGTATACTAATAGAAGACTTGAATAAACTTATTTTTCGTAAGGGCAGGCTTTACACAAAACAAGTGGCAAGCAATACAATTTCAATGTAAATCTAAGTTATTATCCTCAATATAATATTTTCTCTCTTTCCAGTACAGTGATTATGTCCGGTATGTAGAGCCCTGTTTTAAAGGCACGCTGGTACAGGCCGACCTGGATAACCGCGAGGTAGCGTTTCCTCAGAGCAGTGATTTCAGTTGCCAGTTGAGATTTTAATATTTGCTGCATTCATGCATTCTAATTCTTTCTAGCACTTCAAACTTTTGGTGGAGGAATTGCAGGTAAAAGGTGAAGGAAAGGTGAAGAAAGCCATGAAAGAGTCCTTTAAGATTCTGAACGAGGTGAGTGTGTGTTGGTGTTTGAGGGATGTATATTTATCCATATAGAAATACTGATAAATCAAAAGGCTCTGGGTGTGCGTAGGCAGCAGCAGAAGGCAGGGGTAGTTTATGTAACCAGGCAATAATGCTGATTACTGATGGAGCCATGGAGGATTTCCAGAAGGTGTTTGAGGAGTTCAACTGGCCAGACCGCAAGGTACCAAATGTGCACAAACAAACAAAGAGTCACTGTGGATACATGCTTTACCTGTGTACATAATCTGATAACATAATACACTATCAAACAGGTGCGCGTGTTCTCATATCTAATTGGACGAGAGCTAACATTTGCTGACAATGTCAAATGGATTGCCTGCAACAATAAAGGTGAGATCCTACTGCAATTAAAGCAGAGCATTGTGGGAAACTACCTGAGCTAGTGAGTTCTATTATTTGTACAGAAAATGTGCGGTGTGCACACTTTGTACAGTTTTTATAATCCAAATGTTTTTGTGAGCACAATGGTTTCAATTCCCATTTCTTTTCCAGTCATTTGTTACAGAATTAAAAAAATCGCATTAATGTATATTTATATTTTTGTTTTATTTATGTATCATTATAGTATTTATTCATTTTTTTAATTTCAGTTTACATTTTAATTTTTGTAGCATGTTTTTTTATATATATAATTTTTAGTTAATTTTAATCTTTAATTAATTTTATTTTATTTTTAGTAATTTAGTACTTCAACTAGAACTTATTTAAGTTAATTGGCAAGACAACATTTCTAATTTTCATTTAAATATTTTTAAGCTTAAGTTTTTCCTCTATTCATTTATTTCATCAATATTTAGTTCACTTACTAGTCATTTTTAATAGTTTTTTTTTTTTTTTAACAATAACAACACTAATAACAAAGAGCAGTTTCAAGCCAATGAAATATGTTAGACCCAAGCAAACTTACATTGGCAATAGAAATGTTCACGACTTTTTCAACAAAAAAAAAAAGTATTTATTTATTTATTTTTCTCCTGCCTTTTCCAAGCTTGGAAACAACAATTTTAAAAATTATTGATATTTCCATGCTTTCCACGACCCGTTCTATTATAATTTAATTAAATATTGTGACAGCTGTGCCCTCTGCTGGTAACGGATAAATAAATCACATTTTTTACATTACCGTTGTTTTTGTGTGCTTGTAATTAGGTTACTACACCCATATCTCTACTCTGGCGGATGTACAGGAGAATGTAATGGAATATCTTCATGTGCTGAGCAGGCCAATGGTCATCAACCATGATCATGACATCATCTGGACAGAGGCTTACATGGACAGTGTGGTGAGCTGCTTACCTTTTCTCGCTCACTCTCTCTTTCTTTTTGCAGAAGTCGGTACTGTACACAAAAGGTGATGTTGCATATTGTCCCAAACCTTCATATTGATCATTTTTGTCTAGATTAATCTTGAACCTCTCATGTTGTGATTTCATTATCTGATTCCGAATGTGATCTTGTTATGTCTGTTACTTCATTATGTCTGTCATTATTTCCTGTCATCCCATTCCAGCTACCCAATACAGCTGAGGTAAATTCTCTCGTTCTCCGCAGTAGATCGAAATATATCCTGTATACAGTACATCCAAATGCAATACTGTAGTTCATGTGTTCTTGCAGTTTAGAGTTCATAGCTTCTCTTTTAGATACATTTTAGTTGTATTTAGAAATTCTGATCTCTGTGAAGTTTTTAATTTAATCAAGGTCCTCATCAAATGTCTGGTAGAGTCTAAATCAACAGGATTGCAGTTCTAAATGTGATTGTGCTGTTTTGTTAATTTGTGTATTAATGGGTGATCAACAAGTCTTATATTTAATATGATAGCTACAGAAGCAAAAAGGAGCTACAGACACATTTTCTGCATTGATTATGGGGATTTAAATATGATACGTGTGCTACATTGAGCCAAGAGGGGAAATCTGAATGTGGAAGATTTGAATTCTTTGAATATTTGAATTCTGTGGAAACCTACAAGAGTTTCTTTATAATTCTGTTGATGCCGATGACTATACATGCCATGCAAATAATGCAATATAGACAGTAACTACAGGTTTGGTCAAAACTGAGTTATGACTGAAATCAGGTCTGTCTTGTGACAAATTTGTTTGGTAAGCTATGCTCAAATTTAGAGAGAAAAATTAGGCTATATCAATTCATTCAAAAACTCTGAAGCCATTTTTCTCAGTTTCAGTGTTGGCGTAGTTACTGTATTTTGGGTAACACTTTATTTTTGGGTAACTCTTGCGGTAATCATTAATGAATGGTTTAGTTCTTCATGAGTCATATTAACTCAACATTATCCGTGCATTAGTTAAGCATGAATAAATGCATATTAGTGCACCTGTATTGCAAAGCGTTACCGTATTTTGCCTTTGCAAGGTAGAACAATAAGGAACTGAATCTACCTACCAGTGAAGCACCTGCTCTTAATGGAAGTATCCGGTCTCATTCAGGGTTTCATCCACTTCACACACAGGCCTGGCTGGGATTTACCATTAGCTCAGTCTGTGTTGTCTCTCTCTCTCTTTCTCGTCTTTCAGCTTTTTAACACACAGGCTGAGAGTTTGCTGTTGATGACCTCTGTGGCCATGCCTGTGTTCAGCAAGAAAGAAGAAACAGTGAGTTGAATATATAAGGGAAAGTGAGGCTCCACAAAAAAAGTCTGGACAATCAAAACAGAAACATCTTTTTCCTTCAGTTCATCATGTAATTAAGTCTCATTCAACAAGGATAGAAAGGGGCGGAAGAATAATGAATGTCTAAAAATGGCTCATAATTAATAATTAATTAAAAATAAATAATTAAGAAATTATACATAGTTAAAATTACATTATTTAGGTTATTACTGTTGTTGTCATGATAAAAGTCCATCTCTAAATAAAGATAAAGAATAAATCATGTTTAAATAAATAATAATAAAAATTAACGAATTGGTTGACTGAATGATTAAAAACTTAACTCAAAATGCTCACCACTAATTTATTATGTTACATAACAATTAATGTAGCTTTTTTTTGTGATATTGGGACTAACTAACGCAGGGGTCTCAAACTCAACTTAACTGGGGGCCGCTGGAGGTAGAGTCGGGGTCAGGGCCGCATCAAGTATTCCACACAAAAATAGTATTCAAGTATTACAAAAAAGGAGCACAACTGATCCAATCTTCTCAATATTTATTATTAACGTTTCTTCTGAACTGTTCCTCTGAATTTGAACATTCCTTTCTGTACATGATTGGTTCTTCATGAGCTGTCCTTCTGACAGTTGAAGTTCATTTTACAAACTTTCTTTGTCTATAACACATATTTGTGATATTTATATTTGCTTATGTCCTTTTTATTTTCTTTATACAACACATTAATGATATTGAATGGTTTTTTTTTGGAAGGCACATTTCCTTTTATTATACTTAGAAAAACAATTATTGCTTTTGAAATACAAATATTTGCAGTCATGTCTGCCCGTCTTATTGAATTCTTTTTACACATGTATAGTGTCTCAAATTACTGACTGCACAAATCAAAGCAAACCTTCTTATCAACCTGTTGGACACATATTACAAGCTCAAAATGATTATTCTCACATTGTTTTAGAGCAGGGATCTCCAACACGTCGCTCGCGAGCTACCAGTAGCTCGTGGCCTGATTGCTGTTAGCTCGACTAGGGGCCGTTCATATATCGCGCTCACATATTTTGCGCGCTCAAGTTCGTTATTTCAAATGTAGGCGCGGCAAGCGCGCTCATAATTGGCTTTATGCCACAGCTTCACTACTTCCTGAACTTCAGCCAGCCCTTTGTTTCCTGTCTGTCATTATTGGACAAACTGATTAATCCAGGTGTGCCTGGCCTCAGTAACAATAATCAGGCACACCTGGATTAATCAGTTTGTCCAATAATGACAGACAGGAAACAAAGGGCTGGCTGAAGTTCAGGAAGTAGTGAAGCTGTGCATAAAGCCTATTGAAGCGACGCGCTCGTTTTTTCTAGGCGCAGTATGTTTGTACTTCGCGGTTGTCTATGACAACTATTGAACAACAAACCCACCGTAAGCTGTCACGAGACTATCTATGGTAGCCCATAAGGCATAAAAAAAAAAAAAAAAAAAAAAACGCGGCACACGGAACGACGGGCCGCACTAACATTAAACTTTAATGTCAAGTAGGGGGCCACAAAATATCACCCGCGAGTTTGAGACCACTGAACTAACGTATACTAACTTATAGCCTACTGGGAGTTCGTCACATCCCTGATTATAAATCTAACATAAACTCTCATAATCCAGCGAAAACATTAAATATACACCATTAAACACTCTTAACATGTTTATACAAATTATTCCGCTACAATTTGAATATGTGACCCGACTTTCTACCTAAAAAGGATGATGACCATGTAAATAACACTCAGTCGACGCTTCCTCAAACGGCTTTCTCAAGACTGATGACGAATAAAGACGGGAATAACCAGACAGAACTAATCAACTGATATGTCCTTGACAGCAGGGAATCCTTAAAATTAATATATATTTTTTTGCATCTAATACAATTTCATTACGATTATAAGTGAATTATTCAAAAATTGCTTTTGAATTTAATCAAAAACCTATAAATCATGAAGGTTGCATTACTTCCGGTCTAGGTCTAGGCTATGTGGTCTGTTAAATATAGAACTGTTTTACTTGAGAAGCCTTCAAAGAAGTTAGGCCTACCAAAGATGAGCATAACCGATGGAAATTGCATATGCAAATTGATATCTAAAAGCTTTTCACTTTTTCTTCTTCTCATTAACATTCATATGTTAAAACTGAATTAAAAAAAAAGTTTGGTTAGCTGATTACCTTAAAAGTCCATAGATATCGCCATGAGTTCATGCTACAAACTCTTTCTACAACAATCTGATGTGATGAGACCTGTTTTTGACCATTGACAATTTTAGAACATCAGTTCAATTCATCTGTTTATTTTAAAATTGTATTGTTCATAGTTTTGACTTTGCTCTTTCTCTTTGTGTGTAACGTTAGCTGTCTCACGGCATCCTCCTTGGTGTGGTTGGCACTGATGTCCCTTTAAAAGAGCTCATGAGATTGGCTCCTCGATACAAGGTGCCTTCATAATGTCATCAGTCCTCTGTTAACAATAATGCTGATCACATCTAAGGTCTTTTCATTCACAGGGCAGACTATATCATGTAGACTATTGCATACAGAGATTGTTTAAACTGCTGACTGATTAATTAATGTGATTTTACTGAATTTATTATTTTGACTTCTTTGCCGTTTCAGCTGGGAGTTCACGGCTATGCATTCTTAAATACTAATAATGGTTATATACTCTCTCATCCTGACCTTCGACCTCTGGTAAGCTCCACAAAATTCCACAGATCTTAGTTACACCTATTACCTATTGTCTATAAGAGTTGATTACATTGTGTTATTATTTTTGTATCTCATTAACGTTGATGTTTTCTATACTTTGTGTTAGTATAAAGACGGTAAGAAGCTGAGGCCAAAGCCTAACTATAATAGTGTGGATCTGTCAGAGGTGGAGTGGGAAGATACAGAATATGCAGTGAGTGGAACAACACACACATACATAAACATTCACACACACACACATCCATCACACCATTTTTAGATCAATTGCTTCAAGGTGTTTGTGTGTGTTGATCCTCCAGTTGAGAACGGCAATGGTAAGAGGGGAAAGTGGGACAATCTCTCTGGATGTCAGAGCAACAGTAGATAAAGGAGTGAGTTGATTTTGTCCTTTAATTTGCTTCTTATAAGATTACTTTAGTTTGATTCATTCATTTTTATCCCATAATAACCTAGCCGTGACTGTCATACTCACATGCCGACGTCTTCCCTTCTCAGAAGAGAGTTGTCTTCCTGAAAAATGAATATTTTTACACCATCATCAACGAAACTCCATTCAGGTGAGTTAAATGTTTTGGAGTCTAAAACATGCTGAGTGTTTATTTAAATTCTGCTTACTGTATGTGTTACATATTGTGTGACTATGTTTTTAGTCTTGGAATTGTACTTACCAATGGTCACGGGAAGAATGTTTTCATCGGAAATGTTTCAGTTGAAGAGGGTAAAGATTTTCAAATTATTGTCTGGAAAAATAATATATCCTGTCTCTGTTTACTGCTTTCATTTGTAAATCCTCTCAGCCGTGATGTTTTTCTGTCTACAGGCCTACATGACCTGACAGCATCTGATGTCACTATTGCTAATGAATGGTGGGTGTTAGTTAAGGCTAAGAACTAGATTAGAATCTGAAATGATTTGATATTTTCTGATTTTAAGTGTTTTGCTGTTTCAGGACATACTGCGAGACAGACATCGATCCACATCACCGCAAATTGACACAGTTTCAGGCCGTGGTTCGATATCTGTTAGGGAAAGAACCAGACCTGGAGTGTGAGTTCCGCCTCTAGAGGCCTTTAGACACTAGACTCGAAGTTTTAACATAGTATTTGAGTTTTTACTTCTATCATTACATTAATTTTTATTCATGTAGAATTACAAATGAGTAAAAACAAAGCACCTACTTGTTGCCTATGTAGTGTTTCATAGTGGCCACTTGCTAGGTTTTGGCACAAAGCTAAATAATTAGTTGCACTTATAAATCATCTCATATCTTTGCAACTGTTATTCTCTGTACAGCATAACCACTTTCGTAGGCAATTAAACACAATTTGATCTGGATGATGCTTGATGATACAGTATCTGCTCTTTCGTTCTGTTCTGTCTGTTCTTCAGGTGATGAAAGACTCCTGCAGCAGACTCTGTTTGACGCAGTCATCACAGCTCCCATGGAAGCCTACTGGACTGCACTGCTGCTCAACGCCTCCGGGTACTATTTCCCACCCACACACACAGCATCACAGACAAGTTTCATTAGTGAAATATGTGACTTTTCTCATTCTTTTGCACGCCTCCGATGTGCAGTATTGATGCGGGTGTGGAGACGGCGTTCCTGGGCACACGCTCCGGCCTCATGAGGATGACCAGATATGTTGGCGAAGAGAAACGTGTGGGGAAGTGAGTACATTTAATTAAGAGCTTCGCATCACGACTCAACCGCATAAACCACATCTGCATTGCCATAGGTATTCCTAAAGGGATAGTTCACCCAACAATGAAAATTATGTCATCATTTACTCACCCTTAAGTTGTTCCAAACCTGTATACATTTCTTTCTTCTGCTAATGGGAGAAGAATAATTTATTTTAATACCCACATTCTTCAAATATCTTCTTTTATGTTCGTTAGAATAAAGAAATTCATACAGATTTTTGGGTGAAATATCCCTTTAAGGCCACCCATGGCCACAGTGCCTCACATAATATGCTCTCTAAAATTCTCAACTTCGGGAAGGTAAAGAGGAACAGGCAGTAACATGAAAAACAGAATGTGGTATTAATAAAATAAACATTAGTTAATGTGGCTATACATAAATCACTGAACAAATGCTAATGTATATAATCAACATACATAGGTTTATATACAATAAAATATGAATCTCTTTTTGATGGTTTCATTGCAGAAAATTCTTAACTCCATCTGATAAGGAGAATATTTTTACTCTGGACCATTTCCCTGTTTGGTATCGGCGTGCAGCAGAGAATCCAGCTGGAAGCTTTTTGTACTACGTTCCTACAGAGGACAACACAGGAGGTAGTCCGCACCCTGCAGTCCATATCAAAAGACTTTACACCCTATTGAATGTATTGTGCTCAGTATTTATTTTTCTTTCCCTGCAGTGGATGGAAGGGTTGTGATTGCAGTCACGTCTGTTACAGTCACTGTAAACAAAAAGACAGCAATTGCTGGAGGTATGATCTTCCCTGGTTATTCTTATCTTTTAATCTTTTTTATTAGTCTGTGCTGATCAAAGGACACCCATCGAGTTGCTATTATCCTTGTTCATTTTAAGTATGTGTGTGAGCACATGTGCCCATGTTTGGATGCGCCACCATGTATGGAGTTCACCTCTCCAACACGAACATCTCTTTTCCCCAACACGACCTTGGCTTGTGCTATTTTCTCATTACTCACGCAGACACACATAATTGATGACTTGTACTGTATTAATGCATTCATGAAAAGGAAAATAAATGAAAGGACAGAAAGTCACTGGATAGGAAGTTGGGATACGTTATCTGCTAGTATTCTCATTCCTTTAGCATTTGCTTTGAAACCCTGTTTCAAGCTTTTAGAGCCCTCAAAAATAGTCACAGTCAAAGCTATTGTCTACTGTAATATAAATGTTTTTTTTTCTGGAGAAATACATGGTTATTTTGAATGGCAGTCAATGGAGAATGATTTTTAATGCCACCATAATGGTGTAGTTACATTATCAACCGGCAGGGGCTAACTGTGCCATGCTAATTAGCCACCGCTTGACCCCTTCATTTATCCATCCGTTTAGATTTTAATTCTGGATATCTCTCCATTTGTGTGTGAATCTGAAGAAGCATATTTGATCATTTTACTTTGAGCAAACTGTGTGTGAGTGCTTGCTGGATATTACACTTCAACGTTTACAGAAATACATTCTTTATTCATTTTTAACACAGAAATATATCACAGATCACAAATCATATTTCAAACTGATTTTCATCAAGCGAAAATATAAAGAAGGATCTTATATCAGTCTTAGAAAAAAGGTCAAGTGAAGAAAGGGTCACATCAAATAGCTATAAGATATTAAACCAGAACTTTATAAAGATCTTGAAGATGCTTTCAGCTCAGTCAAATGGGCAAATCCTTTCCTTTCATCAATCCAATGGGATTTACAAAGTGTGTAGTGAAGTGTGTGTGTGTGTGTGGTGTCCCTGCTCTTAAATGTAAGGCCAGGACCGAGAGTAAACACACCTCAGCAGAGTCATTGCTCATTTATATACCGCCCTTCATTTTCACTGGCATATTTGCTGACAGTCAATAAACAAGCATGTGCTCACTTTTGAGATTATTCGCAATAAGTGCTATTTGACGGGAAAGTATTAGTCCACCAGTGGCAAAAGTGCTTTCGTCTTTTCTTTTTACATAACGGAGGATACAGGGTATGTGTTTTGTCGCCCCGTGCAGAGTACAGGCCCATGACACATGCTGTATAAAATAAGAGCTAATGGCAAGAGAGACTGCAACCATTAGACAAAACTCCTCTAATTAATAATTCATGAGTTTTCTCTGAATTCTCTTATGGAGAATTTTTAGGAGTTCCTCTACAAAAGGAGTTTTCACAGGAAACACAGGGAAAAGTATACTCAATTTTTTGCAATCAAGTTATTGTTCATAAATCATTTGTAAGACACAGATTAAAATAGATACATATATTCAACATACTTTTGAATAAATGTATATCTGTACTTATATATACTCAGCATATGGCTGCAAATATCATTGAACACACAGATAAAAGTCAGAGATGCTTAACTGCTGGTGTGGGTATTAGCACACAAATTAGTTGTACTTTGATTTACATTTTTTTGCCGCCAGCAACCTTACCAGTAATTTGCATTGGTAATGAATAGTGTGTAGGAAAGATTGTTGCTATAGTTACAGCGGAAGAGCATCTCCTAAATCCAGATGAGGTGGTGTGATATTTGCTCCACACCCTTGTGCCTACTGCACATCCTTCCTATAGATGGCAGCATTGTGCAAAACACCCAATGATGACTTTACTCTTGACATTATAATCTGTTTCTAAATTTTCAATAATACTGAGAAAAAAAAATGCTGGTTCACATTAACAGTGTGCAGCTAGTTTCTGACAGTCTTTCTTTCCATTTTTCGACCAGTTGCTGAGGCTGCTTGCCGCAGAAAAGCTTCTATTATATCTGTGGGCTTCTGAAAGCCCAAGTCAAATTTATCTGAATTATTTAATCTAAACAACATCTGCCCTCAAGGAAAAGCGAATTGGTCCACAAGCAGAAAATTGATCACACAGACTCAATCGATTCTCCTCCATTGCCAGCCCAAGAGAAAAGATCAGACTAAATCAGCTATGACATCCTAGTCCAGAATTAAACAACAGATCAACAAAGACATTGATTTATATTGCACAGAAAAAGTCTATCTTAATAAATGTAAGGTTTATTTCCCTCTCATCTATTGCCTTTCTGTTTTTGTTTAGAGGGTAGCTATCACTGTGCTTCTTTAGCCACCAAGGTGTAATTAACAGTTCCAATAGCCACAATCTGCCACCCTCCACTAACATCAACAGAGTCATCAGCCTGCTCTATATTAGCACTTGACTTCACAATACTTCAAGACACTTCACGATAGACGCCAGGGCTGGATTCTTCTAGTCTTACAAAAACATGTCTGAACTCTAGAGATGAACATGGAGAAACAACAAACCGTAAACAATGTTATCAACACAAATTATTACACAATACAAAGGACAAACCTCACACTTAAAAACATAAAACTGGGGTCATGTCACATTGTACAGAATATATTATTAGCTGATAAATAAGGTGGGAATATTTCAAATATGATATGTGGGGGTTATGATGTTCAGTTCACACTGGGGTAGGGTTAAAGGAGCTGTATGTAAGATTGTGGCCAAAACTAGTACTGCAATCACTGTCAAATTACTGTAGAGTGGTGTATCCCCTCCCCCTCCTCCCTGACTCGAGGTTGCCAGATAGGCTGCAGGATCCAGCAGGAAGGTGACGAGCTGCAGCTGTGGTAACTGAGCAGAGCTGGCAACCCGGATGCCGCAACACTACTGACTTCGTGATTGGTAGATAGGTGGAGGGTGGAGCATCAGACGAAAACACAACATGACAACATCAACATCAGTTGAGGGCTGCAACTGCACTTTTTAAATGACAATATCCTGGCCAGACTACTGTTGTCAGTGATATAAGTATTTGTAGTGAACATGATTTCTTAATGTCTAGTGACATTTCAGGGCCATTTTATGATTAATTTAAATAAATTTCTTACATACAGCTCCTTTAAGGGTTCAAATTAGGGTTGGTAGTGGTATTTGTATTGGGGGTTTAATGTTTGGGTTTGGATAAGAGTTGAAGGTTTAGCGTAAGAGTTATTTGGATTTGCGATGGCGGGAGTTTTAGACTTGGGGTTCATATTAGTGATGGAGGTTTATGGTAAGGGTAGTGTTTATGGTTTAGAGCTATAGGTTTAGGTTAGTGGTAGAGACTGGGATAGAGTTGTGGGATAGGATAAGTTATGGAGGTTTAAGGTTAGAGTCCATTTCACAGACAGGCCCTAGACTAAGCCAGTATCAGGCCCTAGTTCAATTATGGCAATTAAGTAGCTTATATGTTATAATCTTTATAAAAAAAACTTTACTGGTGTGCATCCTGAGACAAAACAATGGCACTGACATTTTTTTTAAGAAATGTCAGTGCAAGTTGATTTCAGTTAAAATACCTCAAACATGCATTTTAGTTTGAGACTATCTTAGGCCTTGTCTGTGAAACCAGGGGCATGATGGAGGGTAATTGTAAGGGTAGGGATTAGTGTTGGAGGTTTAGGGTTGGGGGTCAGATTAGTGTTAGAGATTTAGGGTTAGAGTTGGTGGTTAGGAATAGTGATGGATATTTAGGGTTAGGGGTTCAGATTATTGATGGAGGTTTATGGTAAGGATAAGGATTTGTGTTATAGGTTTAGGTTTGGGAGTAGAGTTAGAAGTTTAAGATTACACCATGTCTACACTGATGCTGCAACGGCTTGAGGCTGCCTACACTGGAAACTTAAAAGTGAATTTTCCAAATCAAATTGTCCTTTTGCCGGAAGCAGAGCAAGCGCATGTAGTATGTCAGAAATCTGGGCATCCGATTATGGTCTGTGACTCGGTGCAATGCATTGGAATGTATCCACTGTAGATAGCATCGATTATAATGAGTGTTATTGGCATTTAGTGTAGTGTGCCACTCACACGTACCACCCGGTGTAGAACACAGTGTTGGAGGTGATGGTTGGATTAATGATGGAGGTTTATGGTAAGGATCAGGATTAGTATTGAAGCGTGAGGTTAGAGTTGGGGGTTTGGATTAGTGTTGTGAGGGTTGAGATTAGAGTTAAAGGTCTAGGATTGGGGTTGGGATTAGTGTTGAGGGTTAGAGTTATGATTGTAGGTTTGGATTGATAGCTAGGCTGCTACAGAGGCAAATGCTAATGAGAGCACGTGATCCTCTAGAAACATCAGGATTCAGGAACTGTGAACAGTTGCATCCACGCCTCCTATGCTGAGATCCTCTCAACATTGGGGGAGGGTGGGGGAGTTCTAAAGTGCTGAGTGGTCCCTCTTGTCCTGGGGCAAATAGGTCAAAGGTCATAGGCCAAAGTTTAGCGATTGAGTAAAGTGTAAGTCTGAGAGTCAGAGAGAGTCTTAAGAAGGACAGAGAAACAGGAAACAGGGATTATAAATCCTCTACTGGGCAGCTAAATGATCATCAAATGTGCAGACCAACCAGTAAAGGATTCTTTATATTTGTGAATGACCTCTGAACTCTGAATCTCTCCCCCATTCCCCTATGCAACTGATGAGATCTGTTTATCCTCCGAGTCGCCTTCTGCCTCTGCGTCACCCATCAATGGCTGCCTCTTCTTTAGCTCTCGCTGGTATTTTGCCATTAGAGAGGCATATATGCAACCGTATGCTGCGGCAGCTACCATCATAATGCACACGATTCCACAGACGACTCCAGCGATCACCACTGTACCGATCGCCCTGCGAACACTGACGGGCCGATAACGCTGCTTAACACAGTCTGGTAGCTCTGCCTCCGTACGCACCACTGCACCTTCGGACGATGGAGTGGGTGTCCCACGAAAACATGGTGGAGATCCACCTTTGCTCCCAGCCCCGCCCCCATTCTCATCCTCCAATTGCAGACAGTAGTTGAACATCTCCACAGGAACACCCCTGATGTCACGGCCCCTTAAGTCCTTCGGAAGCGTACACTCAACGGCATCGACATAACCGCCTACGACAGAAAGCAATAGAGAAAGATAAATCAAAAATAATACTCTCTAAGGTAAACAATAGTAACCTCTAATGAATTTAAATGGTGGCAAAATAGCACCGCAAAGCTAGGAGGGTCAGAAACCCTCTTCAATGTGCGTGTGTGTTTGTATGAGAGAAAGAGTGGTAGCTGGTGTATAATTAAAAAGCCTGACATGCATACAGAAGCTCTGTTCCAAAACCTAGTGATTTGCCACACTGCCTACATAGGGCAGCTGCCTTCTAAGCCAACATGCTAACTGTCATGGAGTGACTAATTTGGAGTGCATAGGCAGCAACTCCACATGCCACACAAATATAATTCTGTACAGGGTAGTTGACTCGCACTTGATTTTAAAATAGCTTGTAATTGGCATCTCACGAATGGTGCAATAATCCAGTACAAATCACACAGCTAATGGTGCAATGATCCAGTATGCATAAAACACACAGTACAAACAAATTTGGGGTAAAATATAATTTATTTTTTATTATCTATTTTTTCGGAATATTTTTAATTACCGAATGATATATAATGTAAAAGTAATGCATTACAAAACTGTATTACTCCCTAAAAAAGTTACTTTTTATGGAAAGTTATGTTACTTTTTCTCATCTGGGCTGGGCTTGCTTGTTTGTTTTTCAAATGTTAAAGCCCTTTCACACCAAAAGTGAAATGAATAAGCCTCAGGCTGAGGGAAATGCAAATTCACACCTGTACAGTAGAGGGCACAGCTCAAACAAACCTTTCCGCTGTGCTGCCATTCTGGATTGCAGAAGAATAGGACACAGGAGAAGAAATTTCACTCTTCAGCAATAAAAACAAAAAATCAAACACAAATGTGATGTTTATCTAAAGCCATTTTTTCTTATTTGTATGGTTGAATTAAATCATCGAAGGTCAGCATTAAAGACATTAGTTAATAAACGTTTGTGTAATTTAACATTAATTATTGCAGGTTTGCGTAATATTCTGAGTTTGCATTTCACAGTTTTTATTCATTTTGAGGAAAACTGAATCTGTTTTTGTGCAAGTGACATGAGTAAATGCATTGCTCAAAATTAGTCTAGAACTACAATAACCATCATGTTTACACAGCGCACACAACGCCTCTGCACTTACTCTCTCAACATGGGGACAGGAGAGATGTCAGTCAATAAATGGGAGACCAAAGTAACTTGCTTTACTTATTTAAAAAAGTACCTTAGACATTTTCTTCTAAATTTAAAAGTAATGTGTTACTTTTATAATGTTATTTTTTTTATCATTTCCTTCAAAATCTTGTTTTTTCTCATTAAGTTTGTTGCATCGTGGGTTCTCCATGATAAAAACATGCAATGCTGCCTGAAGTTGGTCAAAACAAAGTATTTTGGAATGTAGTGTAAGTAAGGTCAAGAAAGTATTTTGGTTGCCTTAAATGCCACATCTGTAGGCAGCTCACTAGGTATTGGAACAAAGCAAGAGACTCAGAGCCCACCATGACTGGAGTCTCTTTCTCACACACTAAAAGCTTTGTGACTCAGCCTCTTATGTCTGTTTCAAATCCCCCTCCCTCTCAAAGCTGCTCTGAAACAGAATTAAATGAGTTTCTCTGACTCAGAGTAGAAGGATTGAGACAGACAGAGAAAAATAGAAAGTGAGAGGTATGGAGAATAAGAAGCTCTGCTTCACAATTATTGTTGGGGTTTTGCCACATTTCATTGCCAGTGGTAGACAAAGGATGGAAATTATTAGGGAGAGAGTGGGTACATTTCCTACAATAAGTCTGGAGTACATGCACTTACCATTAGGTTACAGCTCCATCTGTTAAGAGGCTTAATAAACCTCTTTTAAAACAGATAATTCTCTAAATCCTCAATGGTTTATAGCCCTTGCAAAATGCCAATAAACATGCACTTTACATGATTGTACATACAATTTTAATGCAATACAGTAATTCGATAAAGTTGAAATATATTACTTGATGGAAGAATAATTTATTCAGATTTTAAATATTAAAAGGTTTAATTATCAATTGAACACTGATGTCTATTATCATACTGCTGTTGTCACCTCTTTACTGGTGCAATAATTCACTGAAGACACTGATTTTACCTTTGTTAAAGGCGTTAAGGCAGCCCACTTTAAATTGTGTCAAAGAACACACCTTACTTATGGTAAAATCCTAGTAACCTACAGCCTCTTGTGGCTTATTGCTCAAATGACGTGTTTTTACACCTCCAGAGAATAAAAACACTACGCACACACAACCCTCACCTCGGTATATTAGCCACTCCATCCAGTGTTTGAAGTCTCTCAGGTTGCAGTCACACTCCCAGGGGTTTATGCCCAGCTCCAGGTGCTGAAGGTTGACGAGAGGCTCAAATGTGGCTCTCTCCAGGGCGTGAAGTCTGTTCCCAGCCAAGGAGAGCCAGGTGAGCCCCTGCAGCTCATCCAGCAGGCCCAGCGGCACAGTGGCCAAGCCGTTCAGAGACAGATCCAGCCTCCGCAGCTGGGTCAGGCCACGAAATAACTCCCGATCCAAAACCGTTAGGCTGTTGTTACGCAAACTCAAATCGCTCAGGTTACTCAGCTCACGGAACAGTCTGGAAGGCAGGTTGTCCAGATAGTTGTTGGACAGGTCGAGGCTCTCAAAGGTGCTCAGATTGGCGAAGGCCGAGACGGGCAGGGAGGAGAGGCGGTTATTGGCCAGAAAGAGGGTATGTGTGCCCTCCGGGAGAGAAGTGAGAGCGGGCACAGATACTAGACTCCGCCCACTGCAGTTAGCTTCCAGTGAGTTACACACACACTCTGAAGGACAGCCAGTGCATAACTGCAGCAACGTAGCACACACACTCAGCACACCCAGCAGACCTGTGTGAATGAAGAAAAAAAGAGAAGTGTATATCGTCTGAAAGAGTTGACATAGATGTGAAAGATTGATGTCAAAGATGTGACAGGTGTTGATTTAGTGCCACTGTTGATTTAGACCAGTGCTCAACACAACTGAACCTGTGGCTTCCGCTCCAACCACACTGTTTTAAACTGGAGCTTATGTGAACCTACAAACAAACCTGTAGACATAGCAGTATTTTTGATGCACTCGCTGCAAGTAGCTACTGTCGGTGTCGCAGCACCTTCAGGATGTTTTTGCGCAGGATGTGTTTTGATTATTGTATGATGTACTCTTAATGGTTTATTTTACCCAAAATGAAAATTCTGTCATTATTTACTCACCTGCATGTCTTTTCAAAACTCTATGACTTTCTTTCTCTTTAGAACACAAAAGAAGTATACTGCATGACCAAAATGCTCCAAAAATGACAACAAACGCACCAAAAAAAAAAAAAAAGTTAATATCACTTGTATGCTAATTCAGTCATAAGTCTTCTGAAACCATACAGTTGCTTTGTGTGAGGAAAATACCCAAATGTACCTTTTTTTTTTTTTTACTGAAAATCAATTAGACACACGACACACATTTGACATCATGACATCAAACTTCTATTAGTTTAATTGAATATGAGTGTGAATGAGATTTGAGAACGACATTCAACATAAGGGTGAGTAAATGATGACGTGTGAATTTTTTGTGGTTTCCTGAATGGGATTCTTGAGTTGGCTAAATGTTTCTTCTTGGCTGATGTAGCATTATAGATTCTTGAGATCAGTAAATCATCAGTAAAGCATCGGTAAAGAGTTTTCTAAAAAAATAAAAAAAACTGCAATGGTTGACATTTAGTGGGTTGCAATTGGGTTACTGGACTCTTCCAACCCTGCATAGGTCTATTCCGGTAGGGTTAAAGTTAGCAGTGAAAAACAATGCAGAGGATAGTAAAATAAATTACCAGGTATGAGAAAATGCTTCCCATATCTTTGTTGTTGGATAATTTTGCATATTTTTGGGCCTATGCAGTTCTACCTAAAGAACCTAAAAAGGTTCTCTCACGGCATCAGGCTTTTCCGTTCTTTTTTGTAAGAGTGTATGATGGGAATATAATGTGCCTCAGAGTTAAACAGAGAACGTCCTCTGCTCTGCTATTACAAAGCAAACGTTTGCCAACTGTTTGTCACCTCTCTCTTTTATGCAACAGTGTGGTGGGGGGCAATGTTTCTGTGTCTGAGACAATCAGATGCTATCAATGGATATGACGGTTTAAACATTGAGATCCCAGTTGTCTCGTTGAACGTGTGTGTGTGTGTGTGAGTGTTTGGCAGTTTAAGTGCAGACAGATGCAGTTACAGCACTCGGATATCTGATCCTGACCAGCCTCAACACCCTGATCCCTTTGTAATCAGAGACACACACAATCGTCACGAACACACGCTCTCTCTAATACACACTCACACAATTCTGTGTAATCTCAATAATTAATCCGTCCTTCTAAACTATGTAGTTGTGAATTATTCTAGAATTGCTGTTTTGGCCTGTCAACCTTCAATTTCCAGTATATCCCTTTCTTCTCTCATCCCTTATTCTGTTTGGCTGAGAAAAAATGTGTCAGGATAGGCATATGACTGACTGCTGACATTGAAACACAATGTTCGTTCTCTGTCTTGTTCCCTATGTGTTCAGAACGCCGTTGAAAACCACAGAGACTGACTTTATGTAAGTGGTGAGGACGGAAATCTTCTTGTGAGTGGACCTAGATTAAAAATAGGATGAATGTCTATTTTGTGCCTACATTCATATTTCATCTTGAATTTTATGATGTCTACCTCTTTTTTTACCCTACTGGATTTGCTCATTTTAAAAGCAGGTCTCCGATTTTCAGAATAAATAATGGAGATTACTGTAACACAAAAGAAAAAAAAAGTGTTGGTTGCTTCTTTCTATGCAATGACAATGACTTCAGCTTTACAGAAAAGACATTCTCTTTGCTCTATATTCTATACTCTACAGTAGTCTGTTTTTATTAAAGCTGTTATTTACTTAAAATATTTTCCTCCAGTGGACAATTGATTTCAACAACCAGGTCTGTCCTATTTATGATTAAATCTTTCAGACAGGTTTTATGTAATGGATCAACATATTAATTGAAAGGATCCGACTCAAGAGAACAATTCATTACGTGATCTCTTAATGAATGCGTCAAGTAGAGCTAGTGCGGATGTCAAGATAATCAGTAAATAATTAAAATTTTAGGCTTTTCCCCAATCCCCACACAAAACAAGATTTTGACTTCAGAAGACTTTGAATAGCGTCTTTGATAAATAGTGTCTTTTTGGACCTTCAACTTTCATTAAATTGAAAACAGTGGCTAGGATATTCTTTCAAAAAGCATTGTGTTCCCAAAGAAAGTAATACAGAATAAGTATTGGCTTAAAATATATATAGCATAGAGATTTTAAGTTGGACTCTAAACCGGTAGCAGGTCAATATTTTCCACTATACCGTAGTATTTGTGACAATGCAGCAAAACTGTGTGTGTGTGAGTTGCCACTGCATTGCTTCATGCAGATCTTGAATCAGACACACACATTAACTAAAGCCATCCTAATCCATCTGTTGCAGGGGCAGCTGGTGATCTATGCCGCACTCTATACCACTACACACCCACACAGGCACATACGTCAACACACACTACCTTTCTTTCCACAAACACATTAATAAAACAGAACGTAAACTGATGCATTTCGGAAAGTGATCAATGTAAATCATTTAGATAATTGATATTCACTATTTGGACAAAGCATTTAAAACCGTATGAATGGAATCGGTACTTAAATCCTCTTAAAGCCCCAACACCTTCATAAGAGTGAATGTGTGTGTTAGCTGGGCTCACCTTGACTGTCCGGATTTCCTCTCCTCCTGCGACCCACTGTAGGTGCAGTGCTGAGCTGCATGTCTGCGCTTCTACGACTGCAGCTGCCTCAGATTCGCTGTGGCATCAGCTGGCCCTGATGCCAGCCTCCACAGGCAGCGATACGGGGCCAGTGATGAGACTGCAGAGAGAGTTTGAAGGATAGTCAGTAAATTGACGCTTAAATGTTTTCTGCCCGTGTTAGCATAGATGACTTGCTGAGCGTGTGAGCTGTGTGGTTTGTGTTTTTTCCCCCAATAAGTATCTGTGGTGAAACTCAAATAAACCTTGACATGTTGGTAACGGCAGTATCACTGTCATGTCAAAGCTTATTTTTTGAATCAGCTCACTTCCCGTGAAAGTTGTGTGCTCTCTACTCTAGGCTCAATGGAAAACATCTAAAATTAGGAAAGATCAAATTAGCAATTAACTTTTAACACACAAACCTTGCAACATAATGCTTCTCGAATCTGTTCAATATTCTATTAGACTAGTTAACACTTTCCAGTAGTGTGCGGTGATGGACAATACAGTTACATTCTAACCTATACGAGAAAGAAAAATCACATATGAGAGCTCTTGAATGGTGTTTTAATTTGATCTAAATATTTTATTATTGAATAATACTATTAATATTTAATATTATTTTCATCAGATGAGATTAAATGGAGACTTTTGCTTACATCTCCTGCTTCTCGCTTTTTTTTAAGTTTCCATGAAATCAAAATTCAGAATATTTCAGTGCTCATTATAAATAATTTATCACTACACATCATTATTTTTTTTTAAATTCATACTCATAATCTTTCATCAAAAACATTAACCCCCTCGAAACAACGTCTGTTCTTTTCATGACGTGTCTCGGTGGAGGGTGGAGCTTAATATTCTCCACAACTGACTGCAAACTGGCATTCAGATCAGCCTTTATTTAGGTAGCAACGCCCAACTTCCTACGATCCAATCAATTCCCAAAGGACGAAATCAACATTTTTCCATTTTTCTCTTTCCAGAAGCCGTTTCACTCGGATATACATCACAGTAGGAAAGAAAAGTCTATTGCAACTTCCATTTCACGTTTTTTAAATATTGAAATACTACATGACAAAAAAAAGTTTGGGAATCCTTGCTCTGTCAGCAATTGCCTCATTTGTTTCTATTTGTATTTCTCATATATAATTACAGGAGAAATATCTGAGAAAAACTTAATGTATCAATCAAAAACATAACTGAAATATCCTTTGAATCTGAGAGTCAGAACTTTCCTCCCGGTGCACAGCCATCTGTAATACATCGGAGCTTACTGTAATACAGCTCTCCAGGGTACAAAACCGTAGTAGAACTGGCGCTGCAGACGCGATTTAGTTAATTGAGGTACAGTAATATGACACTGAAACCCTTACAGCACATGACAGAGACGGCAATATTATTATTATAACGGCATACCATTATGTAATACTAGTTGTGTAACGCAATGCTGTGAATGTGTTTGTCTCAGATCATTGAGCACAAGGTTACAAGTTGCTTCTGTTTATGCCAGGCCAGTTTGCTGTAAAATGGCCGCTGCTGTCTTAGACTGTGACACTTCGGCCTTGTCACCTGCCACATCCATCACAGCGTGCGTGTGTGTGTGTCTGTGTGTGCGTATTTGCGCAACGCAACACCAATTCACCAGCCTGTCATCTGAAACGGCACAGTGGAAAAATGTGCAGACATTTAGAGGTTATATTGCATGTGTGTGTGTGAGTGAGTGAGAGTTTCTGAAAACACCTTTTGGAGTTGCTCAACACGTGAATATTTTCAGCGCATTACGTTTCCTAGAACATGCAAGTTTGAGGGTGTGATAATGTGAGTGTGTGTGAAGAGAGGATAATTAGTTGAGGGATGTGTCATTTGACTCCCGAGCATGCAGCACACACACACACACACACACACTCACACACTCACACGTGATGTAACAGTCTCTCACTTTAGCAGCATCTCTCTCCACATCCAGTTCAGCACATATTTCACACTTTCTCACCCCACGCCAAACTAACTTCCTGTGAATGCACAGGTCAACTATGCATGTGTGTTCATAAGTAAATAGAAACGCCCTTTAGATGTTCACCTCTGAACCAGTCCTGCTGATCCCTTTTCTTTCTTTCTAATGCACACACACACAGAAGGCGGCAATCAAAGTCAACGGCGGCAAGAACAGAGCGAAGAAACGTTAGAAACAAAGACACGGAGGCCACGGGGATGAATTATTAAGAGCAGAATCACAAACAAAGACACGCTCGCATAAACACTCATTCAAGCAACACACATACAGTATGCGTAAAAACATACAAACCTCTTACACAAATGCTTTTGTTTATACAGTACATATGCAAGTGTTAACAGGATTGCATATTGTAGAGACCATCTCACTCCAACATGCTCAAATACACTCAAAAGCAGCATTCCAGAACATCACCTGTGGTCACACAGACATCTTTACATTTCCTTTGTGTCCAAATAAAAAACTGGACATCACATGCTCTGTAACCCAAAACAACAGGCGAATGTGTCGGTCTAAAAAAAACATCCCTCGGCAAACATCATGCACAGACAACGTAATCATAATTAAGGCAAATTGTAATGTGTGCTTGTATATGTGTGTTATAGGTTAACAGCGTTTCACTCACCGTCTATAGATGCTGTCCTTCTCGGCGTCCCCCCCAAGCTCACACACTCTCTCTCACACACATACGCACACACACACGGTTGTGGGAGAAATGAGCGAATAGCAGCTCTCGTAACGCTCCAATATGGAAATGAAAATATCCTTCCGCTGCCAAGAGCAACGGCTGCCACAGAAGGAGAGATGGATTGGAGGAAGGAAAAAAAACGATTAAAATAAAGAAGAAGGAGATGAAGGAGGGGAGTTAAATCCTGCGCAATGCCTTGCTGTAATGCTCAGAGAGAGGATGACAGAGAGAGAGAGAGAGAGAGAGAGAGAGAGAGAGAGAGAGAGAGAGAGAGAGAGAGAGAGAGAGAGAGAGAGTGTGAGTGAGTGAGTGAGTGAGTGAGTGAGTGAGAAAGAGATAGAGGGGAGGAGGAGGCGTGCTCCAGTCTTTCAATTATCTGTTGTTTCCAGCAGATCGACTCGCCTCTGTGTTTGTATATTGAGTCCACAGAATGCACTTGAGTGTGTGTGTGTGTGTGTGTCAGTGTGTGTGTCAGGAGGTTGCCTCTTAAGCGCATACTGTCCTCAGGCTAGCCTTTGGTGCGCATGTGTGTCTGTGTGAGTATGTGTGTGAGTAAGTGTGTGTGTGTTTGTGTGCTGCTTTCTCCATATGTGCATGTGGTGAGGCGTGCAGTGTAAGCGTGTGCCAGCCTTGTCAAAGATAGTAACATTAGTGAGGGATGAGGGGAGTGAGGAGGGGTAGAGAAAACAGCTGATTCTTTCTCTCTCATAGATAGATAGATAGATAGAGAGAGAGAGAGAGAGAGAGAGAGAGAGAGAGAGATAGAGATACATAGATAGATAGATAGATAGATAGATAGATAGATAGATAGAGACAGATAGATAGATAGATAGAGACAGACAGACAGATAGATAGATAGATAGATAGATAGATAGATAGATAGATAGATAGATGCAGCCAATAGAGGCAACAGCAATGCATTTTACTCTTTGTGATGTCATGAGAGTGCTGAGTTTATGCAACACTGCTGCTTTTAATGGATGCATGTGAATCTATCTCAGGGGGGGGGGGGGGGGGGGGGGGGACCCTTATTATTGCTCCCTTGTTATGGATGGATGGATGGATGGATCCAATCACATGTTGCCATCACCAGCAGTGATGCATTTTACACCCTGTGATGTCATCAGAGTGCTGACATCATGCAACAGCTCAGGAATATAACCATGCATGTACTCAGCATTGTTCAAGTGGACAAACTGGACCAAATGTCACCCATGTATACAAACATTTCTGCAATTGCCTGGTGTGCTGAATAATGCATAAAGGCATACAGGCCACGCTGCAGCAACAGCACCTCAAAAAAATAAGAAATGCAGCCATTGCAGCTATTTATAAGAGGAAAAGCATTCTGCGACACCAGAAGCGTTTACCTCCTGTATGTTGTGGGCTGTTGCAACGCACCGTGTACTTCAGAAGGACCTCAGTGCCACCCACATGCTTTCACATGCCAGACATTGACAAGAAAAAGCACTACAGCTCCATTAAATCCTTACCATGCCATTTCTCTCCTTATCAGAAGCCCTCTATGTTATGAAGAGTGTATGTGGGGGTGTGTACATACTGTGTGCTGCTCACGTTGAGGACAGTGTCATATTTGGGTGGTGAGTCTTCAAGGTGTCGATAGGGGCTGCGCTGACATCATGTTACCTAAGCAACAGAGAGAGAGAGAGAGAGAGAGAGGTGGGGGAATTGAGAGGGTGTTTCTTTGACTCACTGTTAGCGTATGCTACTTGAGCTCTTCGTGATAATCTGCAATGTAAAGACCCTGCTGCTCTGTTTGCCATCACACACACACACACTGCAGTTTAGTCCTGTCATATTCAAATAGATATGAACCACATTAGCATAATTTTGAATATCATTTAGAATTTGAAATGCATATTAAGCTAAGCATAAAACCATACTGTTAAGTCCCCGGCACGCCCCGGCTTATTATGACCAGAAGAATCTCATTTTTAATTAACGAGGTATTGTTTTACATACTTGAAATAGCAACATCTGATCCATCCATCCCTCTCTCCCTCCCTCCATCCATCCATAACAAGGGAGCAAGAATAAGGGGTTTTTCCCCTCAGATAGATGTATTCATGCATCCATTAAAAGTTGTTAAATAAAGTCTATCATCTATATAATTTAATTTTGGAGAGTTTCAAGCTCTGATGGTGTAGCCTATTCTCTCTTTCTCTCTGTCTTTACCCATCAAGTTGTAAAATCTGTGTATTTTTTAGTAGGACTGATTGCTTGCCATGTTGTCGCTCTAAACATTTGGTTGAGGTTTCATGCTGTATCACATCATTGTGTTTGTTTTTGTGTGTGGGATGTTTGTGTGGAAAAGAGAATGACGGAAGCTCAGAAAACTGGGTATTTACTGAATTATCTGCTCTGCTGGAGTCACATGTCTTCCGTCATTCACACTTCTAACTGTGCTGGGATCCGTCTGCGAGCTCGCTCGTCACTATTTTGGGTAATCTTCATTGCAGGGTTGTCCAAATCTTTAGGATGCTGGAGGAGACATGGTGACTGTAATCTTCCAGTATTACTACAGTATGTCTGCTAGGTCTAGAGCTTTATAATACACATCTACTCATTCAAGAGATTGTCTGCCCTCCACTAGCCATCTTCCCTGCCCCGAGCAGCTATTACCAACACTACCTTCCACTCTCTGCCTCTTTATTATCCACATCTATTAATTAGCTTCTGTATGATAGATGCTTCAACTCTGGTCATCTCTCTCTCTCTCTCTCTGTCTCTCTCTCTCTCTGAATTATTGAAGTTAAAATAGATTTGTACTCAAACGAACAATTTACAGCAGTTTAATCAGACCCGTCAGCTCACTGCAAATTCTACTGTCCTACTAATTACACAGGGTCATTAAACAACAAAACCTGGTTCTGTAAAATGCAGCAGTTTATGGGGGGACGTGGATGTACAGATTGAGGTTATATATGAAGTATCAGGATGGGATATCATATCATATCAGCACATTTAGCATTTTTAAGCTTGTAAGAGTGCATGGACACCCACTGATGCATGCTGGGATTATATATTTGCAAGTCGAACGGAATAGGGTTGGAGAAAAAACGGGACAAAAAAATCTTCAGGGACAAAAAAACTCAGTCTCAGTCATTTTAAGTATTTACATATGCATTTCTACTAACATATTTCTTAATTTTTGCATTTCATTTGAGATGTTATGATACTATTAGAATACGAAAACAATTTTCTTATCTTTTTGTGTTTCTTTCCTGCATAGCCATAGGTGTACAGGTGTCTCTTGAGATGTTGGAAAAAAGGCTTTGGTCCGTAGCCACTCAGGTACTAAAACTAATATATCATCTACTGCAATTACAGTTATTGCTAGCTGTTCCTGTAATTATGTTTAATTTTGTGGCTGTGTACAAAGTATTAATACATAAATATAAATATATATATATAGATACATTATATATTTATTTTATATTATATTATATAACAGATGTCAACAGGATTTCTCTCTCCACAAGGATATGTACACCAGCATGTGTGCGATACTGGCCGGATGGGTCTTATCTGTTTAAACATTGTGCATTTGATGGGAAGTGAAAACAAACACAATACTGTTAGTGGTGACACTCCTAGCACAGGCTTTTGTTTGATATTTATAATACAAACAGAAGATGTTAAGTGTTGAGAGAGGAGTGGAAGAGTCCAGAAGGCATTCGAAAAGAATAAGGAGAGGAGGTGATATCACTCTCTACATCCTCCTCAGGGAGAACATTCTCCCTTTTTTTTAGTACCCCTGGGATTTTCCATGCCTGAACGCTCTTCCACCTCAGCTGGCACATTACCACTGAGTCTGTGTTAACTCCTGACAGCAATATTAACTAATCCCACCACAGTGATTATTCTTACTGTTAAATGTTTGAAATGTTAAAATGCAAATCCATTAAGTAAATCTTAAAGGATCAATAACAGTGCAGAATCCATAATGATTAACAACAGTGCAGAACATGACACACTGTTAGGTGAAACATGCATGCTGTTAAAAAAAGAGACCAGCATGTCTGTGTGTAAATTGTCCAAGGTTATTTTCAGCGATAGTTTTACATGAGACACAAACACAAGCTTAGTTTGTCACAAGAACACACGTGCATCATCCTTAAAGCAAGATAAGTTCACTTTTAATTTTAAATAACAAGTTTAATTTTAAAGACAAAATATTATGAGAAAATATACAACAGTTCAAAAGTTTGGGGTCAGTAAGATTTTTTTTTTAAAATGTTTTTGAAAGAAGTCTCTTTTGCTTACCAGGGCTGCATATTTGATCAAAAATAAATATTGTGAAATATCATTACAAATTTTCTTTTTCATTTTTCTCATATGCTGATTTGCTGCTCAAGAAACATTTCTTAATTTATTATCAATGTTAAATACAATGTGCTGCTTAATATTTTTGTTGAAATCATGATACATAATCCTTGTTGAAAAAAAGTATAAATTTCTTTCAACAGTGGTGTATATTAAACATATTGATCCGAAAACTCTTAATGGCATTATTAAGAACATTTATATTTTACAGGAAAACAATAGTCTCTCAGTAGGCCACTCAAATGCTTCAATTGAGATAAGATCAATTAGATATGGATTAATCCAAATTAAATTGAGATATGATCTATGGATCTTTAACAGTAGCTGTAGTAAATATTCACAGGTCCTTATGAGAGGATTGTTTTCCTGTCCCTATTTTCATCTGATATATGGCTAGAATAAACGCACACAGGAGCCTGCACAGATCATGTGATATAGGCTCAAATGCAGGACAGCAGTGTTATAAGCAAGAGTTGAGTTTAAAGCTATCAGTCCTGAGCCAGTGATATGATATCAATAAATGTTTTTTTTCCTTTTTTCACTACTGCTGCATATTATCTGGATGGACACCAGGCGAATGACAAAGATGTATGTACTCAATACAAACAAGATAATTTACACGATACTATACAAAACTTAATGCTCAGTCTTTGTCAATGTCTGTCTATCACAGTGTTCTGGTGTAGAGGGGCTTTGTCCTCTAAGCTGTACTGATAATGCGGTGAGTATTATACAATATAGTATTAATAATGCATAAGTGGTCGGTCTCTAGAGCATTTGTGGATATATCGGTGAAAATATGTATCACCATTCCTCCATCAAACTAATCCAATGTGACAAAATGCTTTTTCTTTTTTGTGTTTACAGGACATTAACTGCTACGTCATTGACAGTAATGGCTTCATCATCATCTCTAAGGACAGGACTGATGTAAGAGCACTTAAAGTGACAGGATAAGGTCAACACAAAATGCCATTTGCAACCCACTAAACATCTGTAATGATGCAAAAATAGGTATTTCCGAGTGAAACTGAATATTAACATGTAGGGAAAGAAGTCCTTTTATCCACTGTTAAGGGATTGGACTGTGAAAAGTGTCCGGTACACACCAGAATGAAGCCAGACCTGAAAGTTCAATAGGCCTACTGACTACCATTTACATGCTATCACATTTAAGAAAATTTTACATGAACGGTTATAAGGATTATATATATATATATATATATATTAAAGGCCTCTTTACTGTGTGTGTGTGTGTGTGTGTGTGTGTGTGTGTGTGTGTGTCTGTGCGCGCGCTTGCTTGGTTTTCTATACCGGTGGGGACTTCAAACTGAATGCACACAGACTCATGGGGACTCGTGTCTCTGTGGGGACCTAAATCGAGGTCCCCGTGAGGAAACAAGCTTATAAATCATACAGAATGAGTTTTTTTTTAAATGTAAAAATGCAGAAAGTTTTGTGTAAATGGGCAATTTTAGGGGTAGGGCTAGTGTAAAGGGACAGAATGGGCCGTATCTTGCACTCGGCGCAAATGACTTTGTACACCGATGCGATGCATGTATTATTCCTATTTTGCACCCGCGCAAAGCGGGCTTTTCCCTCCACAGACGCAGGTCGGTAAACTAGGAAATGAAAAAGCGCAAAAAGGAGGCGTGTTTCGGCGCAAACATTCCCTAGTGCTATTTTGCAGTTCCAGAAAACAATTCCGCCACTGACCAGAAAAAAACTAGTCTAAGGTCAGTGGCGCTTTGCACGTTGTTCATAATGCTATTTTAAGCGCGCATGTTTGGCCATAATGTAGCGGGTGCACAACGCGCATACACTTTGATTCTCTCATCAACACAGATGCAGCAGTTTTTATTTTTGCAAATCATAAATTATAACAAGGAAAAATATTAACACATGAGGGAAATCATTGTGGTGTCCATGAAGATGTAAAAAAATGTTGGCCTAAAAAATCTAGCTTACACATTTACCCAAATGTTTCAGGCTAATTGTAGTAATGACGGATCAGATCTGTTTGCCCAATAGTGGCAAGACACATATGTATATAAGGACATCTGACAAATTAGTTTGTCCGTCAAGAACCAGAAAAAGAAAAAAAATCCCTGACAAGAACGTCGGTCTCCTCGGCTGTGAACCGCTCTTGGCGCGCGCCTGGTAAATTCAAGTCAAGTCAAGTCAAATATATTTATATAGCGCTTTTCACAACACAGATTGTATCAAAGCTGCTTCACAGTATCAATCAAAACAACTTAACAGTGTTTGTTTATTACTGGAAAAGACATCCAAGTTTGGTAGAGCTGATCAGTGGTATGATGGGTCATTTAATTTGAATATCCCCAACTGAACAAGCCAAAGGCAACAGTGGCAAGGAACCGAAAAACTCCATCAAGTGACCCGATGGTGTCCTAAAACTCCATCAGATGACCCAATGGAGAAAAAAAAACCTTGGGAGAACCCAGGCTCAGTCGGGGCCAGTTCTCCTCTGGCGTTTATGAAGTAGAGGCCGAATTTACAGTAACTGTAAGATAAAAAATAGTATATGAATGCCTGGCTAAATAGATGCGTCTTTAGTTTTAAACTGGGAGAACGAAATAATAAATCCGCCATAATAATAACAATCCGCCATGCAACATGCGCACCTACTCTTAAAATGGTATGTTGGATGAGGCTCTGATTGGTTTATTTAACGTTACGCCAAAACCACACCTATGAATAATGAAGCTATTTCAGACCAACCCCTTTTAAACTTGCGTCGGGCGCAAGAGTCATTTATCCCGCCGGTAAAATAGCAACAGCGCCCAAGACCCGCCCACAAAGTTACTTGGGCTTCGCGCTTGATACTTGCGTTTCAGATCGTTAAAATAGGGCCCAATGTGTGTGTGTGTTGTAGTGTAAATCACTGGAAATTTAGGTTAAAATTGTCACGTTCTGGTTCGATGATGATGAAGATATGCACAAATATCTGAGCACAAGAACAGAAGACAGTGACAACAAAACCAACCTGAACATAACTGTTACAAAGATGGGGAAATGACACGCAGTAAAAATGTATTTTGCCATTTAAATGGTTCCATTTAAAGCAGGTCACAGAAAAAAAAAATCAATGAAGTCATGAAATAAAACGGTTCCTAAATAAAGACATTGTGCTGTGAATAACACAGATTAAAAAAAGCTCTTACCACTGACTCAGCATAGGAAAGTGACTGTGGAAATGAATAAATAAATAAATAAATGCATGAGGTGTTTTCCATCATTAATAGTGGTCCTATGAGAGAGACAGAAAGAGAGAGAGAGAGAAGGAGAACAGTGCATCATCAGGGTAAATATAGAGAAGGGGAGGGATAACACAGGTTATCTGAATAATTCAGCGTGCTGGTGCGGTAAACGCTGACTCTGATGTTGGGCTGCAGCCTTACAGGGCCCAAATGACGTTTAAAATTTGAATTCAGTGCTTTATCAAACAGTTAAGTCAAGATGTGGCGTTAAAGCTACAGACGCATTCATTCTGAACTGTCATTGTTCCTATCGTGAACGAGAAAGAGATCCTGGTGAAATAAATAAATAACAATGTCTTGAAGTCTCTCTATTCTCTGTATCTGTAGGTTGGAAGGTTTCTGGGGGAAATCGATGGGTCGGTAATGTCACAGCTCTTGAGAATGGGCATGTTTAAAAGGTTAGAGAACTTTTTTTTGTTACGAAACACTTAGCCGTTTTTCCACCGTCGGGCAGAACGGTTCTAAGAACAGTAAGGAACGATTACAGTTATATTTACACTTGAGATTGGTTCAGCACGACATGATTACAAACTGGAATTCTAAGAAAGAATTCTTAATTTATTATCAATGTTGAAAACAGTTGTGCTGCTTGATATTTTTTGTGGAAACCATGATACTGGTAGCGTCTAGTGACGTCCCACTCACTTTCCTGTTGCCTGGCTGCCAGTTTCCTGTAGCTGGCCAAGCACATTATTAGTTAATAATAAAATTAAAAGAAATATCTGATCATCCTCTCTAACACGGTCACTATTTACATGTAATATCATGCAAATACTTGCGCTACCAAGGCAGCAATGGAAAAGTGGCTAATGATTCCATGAAGAACTTTTAACATTCATGGAACCTTACAATTGCACCTTTACAAGCTCTTTATAGTGGAACTATATCTATGAAATTCACACTAGGAAAAATGGTTCATTGAAAGAACCTTTCAGTGAACCATTTTTCCTAGTGTGAAAAAACAAACAAACTTTGAAAGCTTTATTTTTAAAATGTGCATTTAATGTAAATGTGATGTAATGTATTAAGGTCTGTGTGTGTGTGTGTGTGTTTTCCACAGAGTGTTACTGTATGACTATCAGGGCATGTGTAAGGCGAATACTCACTCTGCTAGCGGCGCTCGACCCCTGCTAAGTGTAAGCATTCTGCTGTCTGTTTTAATAACGTCTACCAGAACACAACAGTCAGATGCTATCAGTGTTACATGTAATATTTTGCTGCTCTTGCAATCCATTGTGGTATATGACTATATGAGTGGAGGTCACAGGTCAGGGCTGATCTAAAATAAAAAGACTTGGCCTTCACACCATGATCACAAAGATGGTGTCGAGAAAAAAAAAGACGAGATATGTGTCATGAGCTCTTGCACAGAAATTCTCAGTGTAACTGAAATGAAAGAATGCCATTTGATTCTTTTATTCTTTCCCCCCCCTCGTTCTGCTTTTCTTTCTTCCCTCAGCCCTTTTATAATCTCCTGGCAGCACTGAGATGGTTCCTATCGAACTTCTTGCTGTAAGTGTGGCTGTTTTTCTGCTCTTTACAACATCAGTGACTCAGTTCATCCCTTGTAAAATCAGACGTTTTTTCTCCGCCAGGTTTTTACTGGACTTCAACATCTACGGTCTATGGCATTCCGATCACTTTGTGGAGGGTATGTGTAAAGTAAACTAGATATAAATACTGCAAAGATTCATTTGTGTTACTCACCTGTTTGTATGGCCATTCCTGTGTCTTCCTTCATCTTCATCGTTTGCCCTTTTATTTCTTTAATTCTGTAACCCTCCTTCATCTTGATGTGTCACAGCCAAGACCTTATTCCATTCATGTAAGTGCCGTTTCCATCACTGTGTGTGATATTGCTTGTGCTGTGTGTGAAAAGAGAGAGCAGAGAAAGATTTGGCTTTCATGTTGTTATTCATGATCAAAAGTGATTTTATAATGAAAGTATCCAATTGCTGATGTTATTTGAGGATAAAAGGCCATTCCATTCTTTAATCCATACTGTAGATAACTGTGGGTTTGCTTTGTAGCTGGTAAGAAGTCAAAGGGGGGCATTCTGCAGCCATGTGACACTGAGTATCCCAGCTTCGTCTACGAGCCGTCAATCAAAGAAACCAACAGCCTGATCAAGTGTGGGAGATGTCAAAAGTAAGAACTCGCATAGATCATTTGGCCATGGATGGATTTGCAATGCAATGTCTTGTTATTCATACATATATTTTTGTATGTATATAATTCAAGTCGCATTTGCAAAATGTAAAGTTGTAATTACGAGAGCCTTAAGTTGTTCTTAGATTTATAAATACATACTGTAGTTTTCAACCACACTTTAGAAATACAGTATATTCTGTGCTCAATATATTTAACAGTATATTTTATATTTAAGTGTGGAACTATAAAGTCACAATTACAAGACACAAGAGACGGAGGGGGACTCTTTCACACACTTAATGTATCAGCAAATGAAGTCCTATGCTCTCAGACAGCTCAATGCATTCCTCTCTATTTGACGCCCTCTAGTGGTAATGTCAAATTATTTAATGGAAAATAAGGTTACAGTATAACTAAAAAGTAATGATTTAATATAGGCCAGATTGAGCATATTGCCAATCTAGACAATTACAGTAATACGGTTTGACTATATTCTTAATGAATATTAATTAATATTAGCTGGTTAGTTAAAATGTTTTGAAATTAAATCAATATTCAGGGTAGACTTGATAGGTAGTGTTTTGTCCGTGCCTACTCTAGTATACAAACTAATATGTGTGTGTGTGTGTGTGTGTGTACATATATATAATTATTATTATTATTAATGATCATTCCCTTACTGGGGGGTAAGCCCAGGTTTTTTATTTTATTTTATTTTTTACTTAAAATCCTAGAATCGCCCCTGGGATATGCCAAAATATGAAAGAAACTAACCGTTTCAAAGCATATTACTTTATTTCCAGAATATTTAACTTACTAACTAATAGCTAGGAGTATTCTGCCCTACAAAGCAAAAAGGCAGTAACTGCATTTTTGGTCAAAAATGAGTTATTATCATTTTCATGACATTCAAGGCATCCTTTGTTATGTGACAAAACATCTTATCTCAAATGTGTGTCGTTTTGGCGAAAAATGGTAGTCGTTTGTACAGTAACTGCAAAAAGCCCTAGTGAAACAAAGCAAGAGTACAGTAACATCCATTACTGTATTCTTGTTATGTTTTACCTTGTGGCAATGAAGAAAATCTGTGCCGCGAGTCACATAATTGATTGTTTACTTTCACTGTCACGTTACGCAAAATGGGAGGAGTATGTCAAACAAATTAACGTTAATCACGGAAGGAAATTGAATATAAGGAAGTGTGTCGTACCTGGGAAAGGCGTCACCCGTTTGTGCATTGAGAAGTTTAGTGAAATCGTGACGGATCGTTGGGGAGAGACGGCCGCTTGTCGATCTGTTGTTTCCTGTGGTTGAAGTCTGGTGCGTCGCGAAAGTCGGTGCATTCCCAGACAAACAATGATGGAGCTGTTTTAAAGACAAGCCAAAGCTGCTGTATCCGCCTATCCTAGTGTCGAAGAGGACACTCGATACTCACTACACCTGTTTCTTGCCTGCTGTAGGAGCCAGCGTAAGTCTCACATGTGTTCTATGTCTCATTCATAATATTCACAGCACTCGTATTGTAGGTGGTGGGCGTGTCCACCGGAGTTTGGGCGGAAGTGATAGTGGCCTATATGTTTGCTTCACTGGATCACCTGGGTTTTATGGCTTTGACAGAGAGAGGGGGTGAGCCTGGGAGCGAACACTTTCTGTTGACCGCACCCGCATCCGCACTCGCACTCGCACTCGCGCACTTCCACGGAATTCTTATGACATGGTAACTGCAGTGCCTGTTGTACTTTTATGTGTCGAAGTGGAATAAAGGATTGAAATGAGATCGTCGAGTGGAACTGAGTTGCTGCGCGTCACAGTGTTTTCCGTCTCTCAGTGTTTAGCCCCTCGCGGCTGCAGGTTTTCGTTTTGCGTTGTCTACAGCCGCTATATTTAGTCAACAGAAAAGTTTAAAACCAGAGTGTTGTTCTACGGAAACGAGCCGTTCACACGGATTTCGCGGATCACAACGGAACGCTTTGGATATCAGAGGAAACACGTAAATGTTTGGAGCACCGCTGTATTGGATGGCGGTTCATTCATTAACGTTACCACTCGGAGGATAAAGACTCGGCCACAATCAACGCAGCAACTGAAGCGGTATGTAGTAACTTGACAATTTGTGCTGTGTAAGTTGTTTGTTTGAACACAGTGTGAATAGGTTACTGCCGCTTGTCCATAGGGGACGTATTGTTGCTTGCCGGTGTTGTTTATTGTTGGTCTTTGGACGTGGTTTATGATGCAGCGGTGGATTGATTGAAGAAAAGATTGATTGATTGAACGGCGTGAATTCTTGGATGATTTGTGGTACATAGGGAAATGGCAACAAGTGGATCAAAATTGAATTTAAATGTCAATGGTTCAGAGATGGATGAACAAAGGAGAGAAATCAAACTCACTTCCAAGGCCTTGGTGAATAAAATTGAAACACTGCAAAAGGAACGTAGAAAAAATGTTCATAAAATTAAAGGTCTAATACAGACAATAAAGGATCTCATGCAAAAGGATGACAATGCACCACAAGTGCGATCTCATCTTGAGAAAATGAGTCAAATGGTGGATGAAACTACTGCGTTACATGAGTCTGTGATTCCCATACTTCCTGAAGAGGAGCAGGAAAAGCAAAATGAATGGTTTGTAAATGTACTAAAATGCCACAATGGATTTATGGAGGATGCAAAAGGATGGCTTTCTGAACTGGGGAGACCAACAAGCAGTACTATTGCTCACGTTGTCACAAGTGATGCTCCCGTATCACAAAAGGAATCAATGCACAAGTTGGTTGAACCTCATGATGATAATGAGCCCAATGTTTCAAATCACGCTGAGCAAGATGTTCAAGCCTCCGTCACACAAGATGAAGTCAAACCTAGTGATAGTGTGTCAAACACAGGAAGCAAATGTTCTAATGGTAGGCAGAGCTCGGCTGGATCAAGGTCTAGTGTGTCAACAACATCATCAGCACGCATTAAAGCCGAGGCAGATATGGCTGCTCTCATTGCAAGACAAAGACTACTAAAAGACAAACATGCATTAGAAGAACAAGAGGAACAGCTAAGGAAAAAACGTGAAGAGTTTGAACTTGAAGTGGAAATAGCTGCATCAGTGGCTAAAGTGAATGTGCTGAGAGGCTCAGGAGGGTCTCGTGTTTCAAGTCATCTATCTGTGAAGTCCAATGGCATGAATTCTTATCTAGAAAGGGGACAAAGGAAAACCAAAACACTTAGTGCTGATGCAAAAACATTTGTGCCTGATAGGAATATCCCAATACTGGGTCAGCCCAATCCACATTTCTTGGGTACAAAACCTCAAGTGAAAAATGTTATACAACCAGCACAATCTCAACTCGCATCATCAGGACGTCCCGAAGCCACGGGACCTCAAGATACAGTACAGTCACGTCCACTGTTTCAGCACAGGAGTCATCAATCGGCAACACTGGTGACAAGCAGCAGTGATCAAAATCAAATAATTACGGTTTTGGAAAAACAAAATGAAATAACTGCTTTATTGGTTCAGCAGCAATCTCTCTCATTTCTGCCTAAAAGAGACATTCAGGTTTTTGACGGCGATCCTTTGCAATATCATACCTTCATGAGGGCTTTTGAACACAGCATCGAAGAGAAGGCTGACAATCCTAAAGACTGCTTGTACTTCTTAGAACAGTACACCAGGGGGCAGCCAAGGGAGCTTGTCAGAAGCTGTCAACATGCGGCACAAGATAGAGGATATGCCAAGGCTAAGGTTTTGCTACAAGAGCATTTTGGTAATGCACAGAAAATTGCTTCAGCTTACATGGAAAAGGCTCTTTCATGGACACCAATAAGACCTGAAGATGTGAAATCTCTACAGGCATATAGTCTTTTTCTACGAGGATGTTGTAACGCCATGGAAGATGTTAGATATATGGAAGAGTTGAACATGCCTACCACTATGCTGACCATCGTAAAAAAGTTGCCCTACAAACATAGGGACAGATGGAGAACTGTGGCTTGTGAGTTGCAGGAAAGGAGTGGCCGGAGAGCCACATTTACAGATATTGTTGGCTTCATTGAAAGACAAGTGAAGATCGCAAGTGATCCACTGTTCGGGGATATACAGGATACACCATCAACAACAGTAAACAGGGACGTAAGGAAATCTAGGTTTGAGCCTCGCTCTAGAGCCAAGGGGAGTAGCTTTGCTACCACCATTGCAACAGTGGGAAGGAAAGTTGAACCTGTAACAAAATTAAAAGAGGGAAGTTCAGGTGGTACGAAGGCTTGTATGTTTTGTGGAGGTGAGCACACATTGGATCTGTGCCGCCAGTTGGAAAAGAGGATGCATAATGAGAAGATTACTTTCTTAAAGACAGAGGGGGTGTGTTTTGGCTGTTTGTGCATTGGGCACATGAGCCGAGACTGTAGGAAGCGTCTCTCATGCAAAGTATGCAGTCTGAGGCACCCTACTGTACTCCACATTTATCCAAAAGAGAAAGAAATTAATTTAGTGCAAACGAAAAGAGAATCTGAGACAGCAGTGGGAAGTGCTCTGATCTCTGTTCAATCCAGTGGTCTCACTGGGGCTGGTGACCAAGACTGTACACTCTCCATAGTTCCAGTTCAAGTTAAACCTAGGAAAGGGCATAAGGTGTTGATTACATATGCCTTTTTGGATCCTGGGAGCTCAGCTTCATTCTGTACAGAACGGCTGATGAACAAGCTGAACGTCAGGGGACGAAGAACTGGTATTCTCCTTAGGACTATGGGTCAGGAGAAGGTCGTTGGAAGCCATGTTGTTTCAGATTTAGAAGTGGCTGAATTAGATAGTGATTGTTTTTGTGAACTGCCTGATATCTACACGCAGAAAAGCATGCCAGTTCATCGAGGCAACATTCCTCGCCAGAAAGACCTCCAGCGATGGCCACATCTGAAACATGTCCATATAAGGGAGATTGATTCAGATATAGACCTGCTGATTGGAACCAACGTTCCCAGAGCACTGGAGCCATGGCAAGTCGTTCGCAG